CTCCATCCCATGTATTTGTCCACTTTCATTTTTACACACCATCCAATGCACTTCTTTAATCCATTTTATCTTGTAATTTGTATATTAAAAAATTATAAAAATTATATATTAATAATCTATATGTTAAGACAAATCAAACAAGATCACACATGACTATATTTAGGCTTACACATTGAGAGAATTTGATGAGTCAAAGTGCTTAGATGAACAGTTCCAAAAGTCAATTGTAGACAAATACAGGGAGACGGAAGGAGTACATCCGGTTGTACCCAATTTTGGGTACCACCAAATTTTTTTTTATGTTATTAATTTTATTTTATATGAGAATGAACATTAAATTATTTGAGAATGAGTACTCTTTTTAGTACAGTTTTGTTTCAGAATGAAAACTACATTATTTGTAGATGAATATTATAACTATATTGAATCAATGTGTGAAAAATGAGTGCTGCATTATTTTAAAATAAGTATCACACTAATTATATCTATGCGAGAATGAATATTACTCTACCTCATAATGAATATTATCCCGGATGTACCTATCTCTAGCTATATCCTATTGTACCATATTTTTTTTCCATTTCTACATAGGTGTGATTGAGTGGCAAAGCCACGCTGGCTTGAAACTAGAAGTGGTGTTACGTGTGAGGCGAGGAACAACTTTGTGGCTAAGTCAAAAGTTGCTCACTAGACACCATGTGGAAATTAGTAGGAAATTTATTTGTTTAATCATTGTGCTCCTCTAATTAATCTCTATTCAAGAGATGTTAATTTGCTTGTAATTAGGGTGCAACAAATGAAATAAAATCCTCCTAGTTGCCCTGTGTGGATGTAGGTTGCAGTTGGCGACAGAACCACGTTAAATCTTGTGTCATTTATTTTCTGCAGTTGATTCGTGATTGTGTGTGTTGTTTCAGCGTGCGTTTATTCCCAACAAGTGGACACGTGTCCAGTTACGAATCGGTATCGGTCGTTTCGACGTCTGGCCGGTACAACGGTGGTATGGTGGGTGTGGAGAATCGGTACCAGAACTGATGAACACGATACCGGTTCCAGGGAAGAGGAGGGCGGTTGTAGAACCAGGGCTTATGGGTTCCTGTTTTGTTAAATATTTTTTGTGTTTTTTAGTTAAAGCTGGTCCTAGATCTGCAAAAAAAAATTTGGAGGAGCGAGGAGTCGACTCCAATGGTATTTTAACCGTTTGGAGCATGGGGAGGGATGATGGGGTGTTATTTTTTTATTATAAATACCACAATTTTTTTAAATCACACTTTAATCTCTCATTCTCTCTCAATCTCTCACACTTCTAACCTCAAATCTCTCATTCTTAATATTTATAAATTTATATATAAATATATTATAAATTTATGATATATTAATAATTTCATATTATAATATATTACTCATATTAGAATATTATAATATAAATATATTTTACTCAGTTTATCTAATAATAAAGTTCTCACTTTTCTTTTTCGTCCGCCTAATAATAATCTTCCCATTTTTTACTTTTGGAAATATTTTTATACTAAGAAGTCTAAACTGCCTACTTCCTATTTCTTTTCTTTTCTTTTTCCTTCCCAGTTGTTCCCACTTCCATTTCTTTCTTTTTTTTCTTCCTCTTCTGATAGTTGAGTTTTAGTGGAAGTTAACCTTCCCAATGAAGGGTTGGTTTTCTCCGAGTGTCGTGTCTCTCGAGGAGTGGACGAAGGAAATTAGTAAATTTTTCTAACTAGGCAAAGGTTGGACAAGTCTAGAAGTCTTCTCAATTTGTTTTGAAAATAAAAATAAACTAAACTACTGGGTGCTTTTGATAAAAATAAAATAAATAGTACGTGTATAGGACTAGACTTCAGGCCAAGGCATCATCTAGGTAAACCATAGTTTTGAAAACCTAATCGGCGAACAAACCGGTCGAGGTACTGGTTCACTGGTTCATTGGATGAACCAGTGGTTCGAGTGGTCGAACCGGCGGTTCGAACATTTTTTTAAAACACTATTATTTACACATATTTCTTACTACAAATTAAACTATTATGTTCCCACAATACCAAATTCTTGAATATAGTCCCCAAAAAATTAAGTTTAAGAGTGTTACATGTCAAAACCTAACATAATAGAATGCCCAAATACAACTCATCAAACAAGACCAAGCAATGTCTAAAACAAACACTTCAAATGCAAAGATTGTTAACATAATTAAACTCTGGAGTAATGTTCAACTCGTGAATACGATCAAAAGGATCATCTTCATCTTCATATTCACCATTGTCATCATCTTGTTCTTCATTTGGAACATCTAAATTTAATGCTTCTACAAAATATAATGACGTCAACAAATAACTAATAATAATTAAAAGTTAAAGATAATCATAGGAAATTATTAAAATGATTTCTTGCGAGTTTTTTTATACCTTCATTACCATCTTCAATAGAACAAGCAGCTAACCCATCCGATCCCTTCCTTAATAAGTCAATCTCCTCTGTGTCTAACTCATGTGGCTCATCCATAAGCTAGGATCGAATCAGCAAATTCAGTAAATTCTTAAAGGTTAATTGGATCATAACATGTTCTTCAAATATTTCTACACAAAACAAATTTATTATCAAGGCCTAGGTTTAGTGTAACCAACAATGTATTTGATTAAGTGAAAATACCTTTGCTTCAACCTCAAGTTGTAGTGGACATAGACTAAATCGTTAAGTCTTTTATACTCAAGCCTATTCATCTTTTTTGAATAAATATGTTCAAATATGCTCCAATTTCTTTCACATCTTCTAGCGCTATAAGTTTGACTCAAAACTCGGATGGCAAGCTTTTATAGAGTTTGGAGCATGATTACCATATAATCTCCACCATTCATCTAATTTGTAGATTAGATGACAATAATATAATGAAGTGTAATACTCCCTCCGTCCCTCAGTTTTTGTCCACTTTCATTTTTGCACATCATCCAATGCACTTCTTTAATCCATTTTATCTTGTAATTTGTATATTAAAAAATTATAGAAATTGTATATTAATAATCTATATGGTAAGACAAATTAAACAAGATCACACATGACTATATTTAGGCTTACACATTGAGAGAATTTGATGAGTCAAAGTGCTTAGATGAACAGTTCCAAAAGTCAAAAGTGGACAAAAACTGGGGGACGGATGGAGTATTAGATATAAAATAATTTAAAATATCATCTTAATTCATTTAATACATAGGTGAAAAAATAAATTTCTCACTTACCTGGAGGAAGCAAACAACGATCTTTTAAAGTAGACGATCTACCGAAATCTCCATCTCCTCTCCTATATAAAATCATTTCAGCTGTCAACTTTGCCTTCAACGCGTCATCACCATTCACGTATTTTTCAATGACATCAATAACATCAGATCATGTTTGATAATGATCCTCAAATTGTGGTGAGTAGTGATAGAAAGGATTGAAATAAAACCCAGCTCCATGTAAATCCTAGGAGAGTTGACTATCCCAATGTTTATCAATTATATCAAGAATGGGTGTCACTGATTTCTTTTTCCTTTTAAATCTTTCATTTATATTTTTTCTTTCTATAAAGAAAGCATGATACAGATAACCCATGGCTGGTGCATTCTCACTGTCAGCTAACCTCAAAAGTTTCATAAGAGGCTCTCTAAGTTGCACAATCAAAGCACATTGATCCCAGAAATTAGAATCAAGAACATCATCAACAAATTTTTTGCCATCTCTTTGTTTGGCATAAGCACAAGATGTCCACTCCCTAGATACAACCAAAGTCTTTAGGCATCTTTATGTGTCAATATGTTTTGCAATGCAATAAAATTTGTAGCAAAGCGAGTAGGAGCAGGACGAAGTATATCTCTACCACCTGTATATTTTCTCATCAAATGTAATGCATAACAGTGGTTGTAGACATACTTTGTGGGATCATAGAAGCGTGTTTTACAGCACCTACAACACCTTCAAGACTCCCTATAGCTTTGAACACCAAGTTTATGCAATGTGCAGCACACGAGGACCAAACCAAAGTTGGAAGCTCAATTGCTAACTTTTACCAGCAGATTTATAATTAGCAGCATTGTCAGTCACAAAATGAACTACATTTTCCACACCAACAAATAAGACAACATCTCTAAATAACTTACACAACATATCCCCTGTTTTTGAAGCATCAGAGGCATCAAAAGATTTCAAAAACACAACTCATTTTGGAAAATAAACTAAAAAATTAATCAACGTATTATTGTTTTTGTCAGGCCATCCATCCGGCATGAGAGTGCATCCAATTTCCTTCCTTGTGGAACAAAAAGTCTCAATATAGTCACGCACCTCCTCAAGATTTTTGTCAACAAATAACCCCTAAGAGCATGAATATTTAGACTTTTATAACCTGGTCCCAAAGAAGCTATACCATCAATCACATGCTGATAACAAACAGAATTAGTAGCATTAAATGAAATGCATGCATCAATCATCCCTTTAGACATCAAAATATCTACTCTTTCAACAACTGTTTTGTTTTGCAATACACCCTTAAAAGTTTGTTGTGCACCTAAAATTATTTTTTCAGTAAAAAAATGTCCAAGGGTACCTCTTGTTGAACTAGAGCTACTTCCACGTCCAATACTCGGCTGCATTTGGCTACAAGGTTGGCTTACATTGTTTTCTCCACTTGATGTTTGTGGATAAATTTAAGTCGCAAACTCACGTGATTTCCTCTTCTTATTGGTATATTCACCAATGGATCTAATCATCTCATCTCGCACCTCTAGAGGAACACGTTTGCACGTCTCAACTTCTCCTTGTATACCAGTGACATGTTTTTTGACACGTTGGATACAACCGCCTGAAAGTACTTTAGAACAATGCAAACATTTAAGTTTCTTTTTTACTTTGTCATCTCCAACCTCTATATAGTGGTCCCAAGACGGATCCGTCTTTCCTCTTTGTACATTCTTGTCACTTTGACGAGCCTCCATTGAAATCAAAACTGATGCTGAGATAAGACATAAGGTACAATATGAATTGTCAAAGGGTGTTTGAATTATCAAAAAAAGGATCAATAGGAGTTCAAAGAAACAAGGAGCAGCATTGGCTCTTTGTGCGTCATTAGCTTGAGAATAGTGTGAACAGATACTACCTTGTAATAGAGTCAATAGCATTCAAAAATAACAAGGAGCAGCAAAAGGGCTAGTGAAAGAAAAACTCTTAGTTTAAAAAACCACGAATGTAAATATCAAAAAAGAGCAGAGCTTAGCTAAACCCATTCTCAAACAGATACTTTCAATTACTAATGCCAATCTGATACTAGTAAAAAAATTGGAGTAGTCATTATCCCTAAAGTATACGGAGTAAGAATCATTCTCTAAACTGTAGTCATTATCCTTAAAAAATTGTAGTCATTTTCTACTTAAAGTATACTTTATCATTCAAAGTCACTTTAGGCTAGGCATTGAAAATTAGAGACCATCCACTTCAAGCTAATTCATAGAAAACAAGTGGGAAATTCATAGTATAAAATAAGTTTACTAACTCCAAAATCCTAATCGCAATTTAAAACTAGTAAATAAAATTACTCCAAGCCGCCACTAATATACTAAGTTCCAAACCCTACCATTGTTCCAAGCTTCCACCAACATAAATATAATTCTATTAAAAATTAAGTACTAATACCTGTGTGGAGATGGAGCCCTATTCGACGAAGATGGAGAGGAAGATGATCGTATTTAATGAGACTCATTATTTTAAATAAATATTATTTAATGAGACTCATTATTTTAAATAATAAATAATGAGATCTTGATCTTTTTAAAAGGACTTCAAAAGTTAAAAGTAAATTCTTTAAATAGTCTTTTATAAATGAGGGGTTTCCATATTTAGTCTACATTTATCAAATATTAAGTAGACAGTCCTTATTAATTGGGTACCATTCCACGTTTAGTCCTCCGTCTATTTTTCCATCTTCGTACCATTAGACAAGGACCAAACGTGGAATGGTACCAAATTAATAAGGACCACGAAAATAATATTTGATAATATGAACTAAATATGGAAATTCCCCCATTATAAAGAACTTTTTGAAGAATTTTTTTCTTTTTAAACCACTTTTAATATAAAAATTAATAGATAGGAAGACTGTATAACTGTAGTTTATTTATAAAAAATCAAAATTTGTACACCAAAAAAATAGTTTATCAAAAAATTTAATTTTTAAAACGAGAATCTATTCGAAAGTGATAGGAATTAAAAAGATATTCGAAGTTATTATCCATTTTTAATAATGTAAGAGCTTCAAATTTTTATCTACAAAATAAGAGTATAATGCTAATCATGCTAGAGTATTGATACCACTTATGAGTTTTTTGTCAAAATCGGTAATCTTTGACCATGAATTAAATAAAATTAATAATAGATATTGATACAAAAACGATTTTATTGGATTTATGTAAATAATTTTATTTAATTATATTGAAAATGGTTGACTGCAAAAAGCCAAAATTAGACAAAATACTCAAAGATGGAGGTAATACTTTCAATATTAAAAATGAATGAAAAAAGTAAACTCTCCAAATAGTCCTTTATAACGGGAGAATTTCCATATTCAGTCCATATTATCAAATATTATTTTTATGGTCCTTATTGATTGGGTACCATTCCACGTTTGGTCACTTGTCTAACGGCATGGAGACAGAAAAATAGACAGAGGACTAAACGTGGAATGATACCCAATTAATTAGGACTTTCAATATAATATTTGATAAATGTGGACTAAATATGGAAACTCCCAATTTATAAAGGACTATTTAAAGAATTTACTCAAAAGTTAATGTATAGTAATCATAGAAACATGTTTTTTTATAACGGGCCTCTCCATATTAATTAATTAATTAATTAATGATTGAGATAGACTAGGTGGTGTGAAAATAAAGTTCTGAGAAAAATAGTTTGAAGATATCATAAATTTAGTTTTGACTATTTATTCCTGAAAACAAAATNAAGCGTGTACCGTTCACGTCAGAAATTATTTACAGAGCAACTTTGGAAATTCCTTCCCCTCCCTCTCCATGGCTCGGCCCCCCTCGCCTTATCCTTTACCTAGGGATCATCATCATCTCTCTTTAAACATATACATCTCCCTTCTCCTCTCTTCTCACTTGGTATTCTTCACCCCATAACTCACACACTATCCCTCTCCCCTCTCCTTTGTGAACGTCGGCCATCAGTAGCTCAGGAGACAACGGAGCTCCGGTGAAGAGAAAGAAGGAGAAAGACGAGAAGAAGAACAAGAGGAAGAAGAAGAAGTAGGTGCTGATTTTTGGAAGCAACATCCCGTCAGTCCACTTTGGAAGCAAAATTCCGTCAGTCCACTTTCCAAGAATAATAAATGATATATTCTTGGAATTAATCCAAAGGTTTGTATATTTATTCATCTCATCACACATGTCATAGACCCATGTAGTAGGATTCATTCAAGTCACGTCATACCACCTAAGGGGTCAGGCCTAGTGCGCCTCTTAGCGCGGGCCCGCCCAGGAGCCTTCGGGTCCAACGGGTTTCATCTGGGGCTTTGTGTACATATATGGTATTTAGGTTTTCAGATACCATCCACAATATTCTAGTCTCATATGAGATTAAGGTTTGCCCGAAACATTTCCCTTGTGGAGTGATCTCGAAGTGCAGGGGTCCCTGCATAGTCTAACTCATGCATCATGTCATTTATTTTGTTCCATCATCATGAACAGACATCTAGAATATATTTATGGATATGGGCGACTCAGATTTATGCAAAACATATTGCACTTCACATCCAAAATCGTGTATGTATATGTGTGTGTGTGTATATATATATATATATATATATATAAACAGAAATCACCCTAAATAGGACTAAAACATAGTGAAAAGTACCAAAATAGGACTTTCATGTTTTTTCTCGAAATAGAACTTTGCACGGTAGAAATGTGACTTTGACATGTTGTAATGTGGCAGTGTACATGTGCAAATTACTATACTTTTTTGGTAATGTATATGACCATGTATGGTAATGTAAGTCCTATTTCGGGAATAAAAACATGGAAGTCCTATTTTAGTATATTTTCAATTTTTAGTCCTACTTTGGTCTTTTTTCCAATATATAAAAAGGTGCTTTTGTGATATACGGAATAAATATCATATCTTAATAAATTGTCTAATTCTTTTTGGGTGTTATTGCATGGTTGTTTAATCAATTTATTGTTCCCATAAACACAAAGAGTGAAATGCTTGCTTCTCCTGCAAAATCTCTCCAGCCATGAAAATCCTCCACCATCCAGTAGAAGGTAGCAAAGTTGTGCATGCGATGCATCCACTCTTCTCCGCCTCTAGTTTACCCCCCTCTTTTCCCTCTCTCATGTATACACCAATTAATCCTATTCTCTCTCTCTGATGATCTCCCGGCTCTGGCCTAGCTAAGACCATCCAATCCAATCTCTCTAGCTAGCTAATAATAATTATTCTCATAGCTCCCCGAGGGCCTTCTCTATTCCCACTCCCCGCGGCCGCCAAGGCCACCCCTTTCCCAGCGCCCATCGTCACTACCTATCGTACGACGACGTATAATCTAGTACTAAATGGGGAACTGCTGCTCCGGCGAAGCCTCTCAGGAATCCAATAACAACAACAATGCGGCCGAGGAGGGAACGACCTCCCAAGGGGGCGGCGGGCACAGCTCGTGGGTGCATAACAACAGCAGCAACCGGCCGAACCCGACGTCGAACAAGATCATGACGACGCCGCCCCAGCACGGGGCGTCGCCGGGGCAGGGGAAGGGGACAGCGATCGGGCCGGTGCTGGGGCGGCCGATGAGCGACGTGCGGACGGGGTACACGATCGGGAAGGAGCTTGGGCGGGGGCAGTTCGGGGTGACGCACTTGTGCACGGACAAGCAGACGGGGGAGCAGCTGGCGTGCAAGACGATCGCGAAGCGGAAGCTGGTGAACAAGGAGGACATCGAGGACGTGCGGCGGGAGGTGCAGATCATGCACCACCTCACCGGCCAGCCCAACGTCGTGCAGCTCAAAGGCGCCTACGAGGACAAGCATTCGGTGCACCTGGTCATGGAGCTCTGCGCCGGCGGCGAGCTCTTCGACCGCATCATCGCCAAGGGACACTACACCGAGCGCGCCGCCGCCTCCCTCCTCCGCACCATCGTCCAGATCGTCCACACATGCCACTCCATGGGCGTCATCCACCGCGACCTCAAGCCCGAAAACTTCCTCCTCCTCAGCAAAGACGAAGATGCCCCTCTCAAGGCCACCGATTTCGGCCTCTCCGTCTTCTACAAGCAAGGTTAGTTTGGTTCATAACCTACCCTCCCTAGTTTTTTAATACTCCCTCCGTCCAGTAAAACATGAGAATTTTGATTTTGAAGAAGGATTTAAGGTGAGTGTATTTTGATATTGAATTTCCAAAAATGTCCTTTGATGTGATGGGTAAAAGTATGATTTGATGGATAGATTATTAGTAAAAAGGTATGATGTGATAGGTAGGGTATGAAAAAGTAATGGGTAAAAGTGACTTTTTAATAGAAATAAGAAGTGTTTTTTTCAGACGAATGAAAAAAGAGAGAAAGGTTTTCAGGTACGACGACGGAGGGAGTAGAAAGAAAAAAGAGATGGGAAAAAAGAATGTTAGAGGCGGAAGGTTTGAAATATTTCTTACATATATGAGAAATAATTGCAGGAGATGTGTTCAAGGACATAGTGGGAAGCGCGTATTACATAGCACCGGAAGTGCTGAAGAGGAACTACGGACCGGAGGTTGACATATGGAGCATAGGCGTGATGTTGTACATTCTTCTATGCGGCGTCCCGCCCTTCTGGGCCGAGTCCGAGAACGGAATATTCAACGCCATCTTGCGTGGTCATGTCGACTTCTCCAGCGACCCCTGGCCCTCCATTTCCCCCGGAGCAAAGGACCTCGTCAAGAAAATGCTCAACCCCGACCCCAAGCAAAGGCTCACCGCTTTCCAAGTCCTTAGTGAGTTTCACTATTATTATAGCATATTACTACAGTGTTCCGTTTGAAAAATTGATACATCCTACCTTTCCTCCTGATCCCAATTCATTATCTACCCACGTCAATTACGATGTCCAAGTTTAGTTGACTTTGACGTCAAAATTTTAATTCTAAAGTCGACTAAATTTGCACCCCGCAATTGACTTGGGGTCGGGATCGAGCGAGGGGTTTATTAGAGAGTGGGAACTATCCATTTTGCAAACGTCAAGAACTGTGCCAATAAATAAAATGATTTGGATCGATGGAGATGAATAATGAATTGTACGTGTGTATGTATATGGTGGCGGTGGTAGATCACGGGTGGATAAAGGAGGACGGGGAGGCGCCGGACACGCCGTTGGACAACGCGGTGCTGGAGAGGTTGAAGCAGTTCAGGGCGATGAACAAGTTCAAGAAAGTGGCGCTGAGAGTGATAGCGGGGTGCCTCTCGGAGGAGGAGATCATGGGGCTGAAGGAGATGTTCAAGTCCATGGACACCGACGGGAGTGGCACTATTACCCTCGAGGAATTGAAGCAAGGCCTCGCCAAGCAAGGCACCAAACTCTCTGAATATGAAGTCAAACAACTCATGGAAGCTGTATGCCTGCCTGCCTGCCTTATTCTGGGTTTCATATCATTTGTTTTTTTATGAAATTATTATTGTCTCAAAATTTTAACTTAATAGATATATATATATATATATGCATGCTGCAGGCTGATGCAGATGGGAATGGGACAATAGACTATGAAGAGTTCATCACAGCAACAATGCACATGAACAGAATGGACAGAGAAGAGCATCTCTACACCGCATTCCAATACTTTGACAAGGACAACAGTGGGTAAGTGCCAATATTCTATGATTAAGCTGTCTTTTTTTAATTCATTAAAGATTTGCTCGAATAATTTAGTATATTAATCATTCTTCCACAAAAAACCTCTATATTGTTCTACCAGATACATTACGATTGAGGAGTTGGAGCAAGCTCTAAGAGAATTTGGCATGAATGATGGAAAGGATATCAAAGAAATCATCTCTGAAGTCGATGGGGATAATGTAAGAAAATCTTCTTATTTATATGAACTCTCGCGGTTAAGTTCGTTTTAAATGCTTCCTCCGTCCCATAATGTTGGTCTCTTTTCTTTATTTTAGAAAACTTAAGGATGCGATATTTTTGTGTTGACTTTCCAAAAAATACTCTTGATGTGAAATGAATAAAAATAGGATATGATAGGTAGATTATTGTTAAAAAGGTATGATGTGATGGATATGGGTAAAAGTGATTTTTTTAATAAAAGAAAGGACTTTGTGAGACACAACAATAAAGAGAGGAAAAAAACATTTTGAGATGGAGGGAGTATTTGGTTACGTCAAACAACAATAAGACGAATTTAAGAAGAACAAAATGTCATGTTTACTAAAAGTGTACTTTGTTTTATAAATAATGTCAGGATGGTCGGATCAATTACGACGAGTTTGCAGCCATGATGAAGAAAGGAAGTCCAGATGCGGCCGCAAACCCTAAGAAACGAAGAGACGTGTCCTTCGCCTCGTCGTAAAATCTACTCAATACAAAAAAATGTGTCCATTGTTATTTGCATGTATACAAGTGCTGTATGTACTACGGAGTAATTAGGTTTGGTACTATATATACGTTTGACAGCAAGAGCTACCTTATCAATGTATAGAATGAACATTACCAAAGTCGAGGGTCGTACATACATATCTATATAGTTCATGAAATATTTATTAACGTTCTACAAATATCTACCCATAAGCATCCGCTTGTCAAGCTTCATACAAGATAACCTCACATTTTTCGTGTCATTCATCACAAATTATCATTTTCATCTATTTAAGGCTTGAATTATGTTCTTGATGATTGAAAAAGATAATTCCAAATTATCATTTTCATCACAAATTATGATTTTCATCACAAATTATCATTTTCATCTATTTAAGGCTTGAGTTATGAATACTCTCTCGATCCTGAAAAAAATAATTCCAAATTTCACCGTGAAGAATGTTATAGATTCGTACATTCGAAAAATAGGTGAAGCTTTCAATGATATTGAATAGTGTTGGTGATTTACGGTTAACTCACTCTTCATATTGAACCATATGTGTGTTTTTGTGTTTGTTTAATTATTTATTTATTTTTGGACAAACTTACATAGGTGTATGTGCTCCAATTTGAGGCATTTTGTGGAGTGTCCAAAAACAATGTAATTTGAGCTTGACCCAAAATGGATAAGATCATATGAAGACAAAGTTATTAAGTTAACATGACACTTGATGATTCTAACAAGTGCTACTAATCAACTTATATCCTATTGAGAGACATAAACCTTTAATTTGGTAGGCGCATAGATATTGGAAAAATCAACTCAATTTCTCGCTCGCAGAAACGATAAATAGCTTTCCCGTCTTTGCAATATCAAAATAGGCATATTCATATAACCAATCTTTTTATACGGAGTATAATGCAACGAGGTTGTCTTTTCAAGTCACCCTATAAGGAAGGAGGGCTATAGGGGTGAAGGCACAAAAGGCATACCAAACAAGAGCTATTTTGGAGCATCCTTGCATCTTAGATAGGACGCACTATGATAAACCCATACCTTAGCTTTTTACTTGGGATGTCAAATACTCAGATTCTCCAAAACAAAACTAGTGTTAGATGTACATGAAAATCACAAGGCATTGAGAAAATACATTTTTTCTTAAACAAAACATGTCCGATACGAACGTCAAAAAAACAGTTTTTTTCCAGTCACCACTAGTGTATGGTCACTATGGTATACCTACCAAAAAGGGTAAATTCCTCCAACATACAACCACACCATCATCACATGAACTCAACTCAAATATAACACACAGCATTGTCTCTCTTTAACTTTTTTCCCTTGCTTGAAATGGATAACTAGTAAAAATTAGTTGCCACAAGAAATGTTTCAAAGAAGAGAGAAGCCTATCGCCTCCTCATGCCACGACCACGAGGGGCAAACCCACGCCCTCTTCCCCCCATTGCACTTCCAGCAGCTTCTCCCTGGGCACTCTCAGACTGCACAAAGAATATATTATTTAATATTTTCTCAAATAACGAATCACGTGCAGAAAATGCAGTCAATTTACTCTTATTTATGAGCCAGTAAACCAGTGGCAAGTGCAAATGAAAAATGAGAACCATAATATGCATATTTCTCATGTTGCATATATATTGCTCCTGATCCCAAAAAAATCATCTTTGGTAAAAGTGCAACTTTTGGCAAGGTACTAATCCTTAAAGCCATGGACCTACATGTATTTTAAACAAATGGTTTAAATTAATTCATTAAATTGGAATTGTAACTGATTTTATGGAAAATGTCATGATAAAAATGGTCCCTTGTTTATGAAACAGGACTCTTTCTTGGGAAAAAAACATATTTTTGAAGCATGACATCTTGTTCTCTTTAGAGGGGTGCGGTGTACATGTTAGGGATAAATGGTGTCCTTGAAAACTTTGAACGTTGGCCAATGGGGAAAGAAAGAGATAGTTGAGCTGTGCTAAGACATGTCCCTAAAAGTATTTATGACATGACTAAGTAAAAATTCCACCAACAAAAAACAATTCTAAAGGAGACGCAGCTTCCTCTCTATATTTAGAGTTCACAGTTTCAATAATCGGAAAAGGTGAAGAAAACTAGTAATATTTCTCAGTTTTCTCACAAAGAAGATGATCAGGATATTTAAAATTATTTAATAATTACACTAAGAGAGATAAATTTATAGGCAAAAATATTCTCTTGGGGAAGGAGGTAACAGTAACCAATGGTGAATAAAGTAAGATCTGCCATCGCCTTACCAACAGGAAGTAGATTAAATGAATTATTTAACATAACATGGCTATACCCAAGGAAAAAAAATACATCCCATTTTAATAGTGGCAAATGAAAATGAAAATGAGAGCCCTAAGATGCATATTTCTCATGTCGCATATATATTGCTCTTGAATCCCATAACAAAAAGTCATCTTTGATAAAGGTGCAACTTTTGGCAAGGTACTAATCCCAAAGGCCATGGACCAACATATATTTTAAACAAATGGTTTGAATAAATTTATTAAATTGAGATTGTAACTGATTTTATGGAAAACTTCATGAAAAAATGGCCCCTTATTTTATGAAACAGCACTCTATCTTGAACAGATAAAAAAAACTTCTGAAGCATGACATCTAGTTCTCTTCAGAGAGGTGCTGTAAACGTGGAAAATGCTAAGGATAAATGGTGTCCTTGTAAAGTTTGAACGTTGGCCAATGGGGAAAGAAAGAGATAGTTAAGTTGTGCTAAGAGCCTAAGACACTTCTGACTTCCCTAAAAGTATTCATGTCATATTGTCATGACAAAGTAAAAATTCCACCAACAAAAAGTACTCTGTATTTCTCAAGGAGACTCAACTTCTTCTCTATAATTAGAACTCACAGTTTCAATCATCAGAAAATATGAAGAAAATTAGTAATAATTTCTCATTTTTCTCACAAAAAAGATGGTCAGGATATCTAAAATTATATCATAGTTACACTAAAAGAGATATATTTATAGGCAAAAATATTCTCTTGGGGATGGAGGTAGCAGTAACCAATGGTGAATAGAGTAAGTTCTACCTTTGCCTTACCAACAGGAAGTAAATTAAATAAATAGAATTAACATAACATGGCTATACCCAAGGAAATGAATACATCCTATTTTAAGTTTTAAACAGAAAATGGTTATACCCATGAAAAAAATACCTTGGGGTTCTTCACTGTTTCATCCACACTTAGGATTAGGCAAGCTGCTTCGGTAGCTGCATTTATGGCATTTATCTGATGATAGACATAGAAAGAAGATAGATCAAGATTGTAACTTACAGGATAAGAAGAAAAAAATAACAGTAATAATTGCAGAAAGCCAATGCACCTTCACAACAGATGGCTCCCACACAAAATTAGCAAGGGAATCAGCTATTCCGCCAGTATTGATGTCCACTCCATAAGGTGCACCCTCACCTGATTCATGGTCTTACGGCATAAATGACCAACAAATCTAAAGATGAAAGGCTATACAAAATATCTAAAAAACGAATTTAAAACCAAAATTTAAAAAGAAAAAAAATCAAAAGAGGTAGTATAAATCCTAAATAGCACTAAACCTCACAAACAGATATTCTCCCTGTCACACTAACACTATGTTTGGTTCAAAGAATTTGGAAGGAAAAGAAAAAGAAAATGGTTTTCTCTCATTTTCCCAACCAAAATGGAAGGAATTTGATTTTTCCTCTTCCTAATATATTTTGTCTTCTTATCTCCATTTCTATTATTTTTCTTTTCTTTTCCTCTCAATCCAAACAAGAAAAACTATTTTCTATCCCATTTTCTTTTCTTTTCCATTTCAAATTCCTTGAACCAAACATAGTGTAAGTCTGCGGCAAGAGATGTTCGCACACGAATAGGGTTGATACTTAGTAATAAAAGTGATATGATAAGAATGAATTTGGACAGCACAAACCAAATTCGTGAGATACACAAAATCAGTAAAAGGGGGTAAAGATAGTGGGCCAGAGGGAGCAGATCAATGAGATGTTAACCAAACAATGAGCTCACCTGATTGGAGGGCATGCTTTTGTCTAAGTTTGTTCAATACATCAGTTGCATCAAAACCGGCATTGTCACACAGTTGACGGGGAATAATCTGCATCAAAAATGGATTTTTTTATGTTATAAGCTCCCACACAAATGACAACAGAATGAACAGGTTAAAATTATAAACAAAACCAAAAATCCACAACACATTTCAAATACTCATACAAAAGTGGCTTCTCACACAATAACATGTTCACTCTATGTTGAAGTGCATTCCAATCTTCAACAATTATGTCACTCCCGATAGAGAGTGGAAGTTACCGATATCAAAATATATGTAAAATATATGACAAAGATGTTGAAATGATATCACATATTAAACTTTATTAAAAGAAATCAGAATAGAGTAATTACAAACCCTTCAAACATAATGCCTCCAATTTCTGCATGGAACTACAAAGTCTAATACACTAGTGCAAGATACAGAACAAGCCATTTACTAATTAACATAGGACGTACCTCAAGGGCTTTGGCATATGAGTTTATAAAGAGTTGAGATTTCCCCTTTATTGTGCGTGCATGCTGTCTTAAAAATCGGCTAATCTCCATCTACATCCATGGATATATTTCGACATCAAGCTATTGATAGGATTTAACCACAGAAAATGCAGACAATGGTGTTAAGATCTTACGTCAATTGCACCACCACCAGCAACAACAGTAGAGTTCTTCATAGCTCTTCTAACAATCATAATTGCATCATGCAAACTTCTCTCGGCTTCTTCAATGAACTAGTATAATTCAAGAACACAAAACAGGATCACCAAATAAAACAAGGGAAAAATAACAATTCACTATTTTATTGAATTAAAATGTATTTGGCACACATTTTTTATTAGATGCAATTACTCCAACCCCCACCTGGCAATACAGACAAACAAATCAAAGCTATTTGACTTTTTCCCATTTAAGCCATAATTTGGCCCATTTTCTATTTAATATAATAATATCATTAGCACGCTCATAAATTGCCGCAAAGGACACTGATGCAAGTTTCCACTTTGTCCAAGTGGCCCCAAAACAGTGATTCACATCCCCATCTAACTCCTCATCGGCCTAAATAATGGATCCAAATTACCAAAACTTGTCCCTTTGAATCTTTAATGGGTGGAAAGATCATATGTAAGGGTGGAATGATTAAAGCGGACGAGGAAAAATAGGAAAGAGAAAAAAGTGGTGGAACCAAATTTCATTGAACAGAGAAAAGGGGAACTTCAAACTTATCCATTGAGAGATGTATAAGGCCAACTTTAAAAAAAAGATTTTTTTAAGATTAAAAAAATAAGATCATTTGAAATTCTTCTAATGGGTTTTTTAAAATAAATTTCTACTCGTTGGATTTTTTTAAATTCATTTTTTAGATATTAAAAAATAATTTATGATTAAAAAAATAATATAGAGTTGAAAATGAAATATGAAACATATGTAGATCAAATAAATATTTGAGAAGAATAAACAAGTGTATCCCACACATAAGTAAAGAAAAAGAGGAAGATTAGTGGAATCACTGGAATGATTAAAGTGATGAGAGGACAGTTGGAGGAAAAAGTGATGTGGCATAAGAAATAGGAGAGATGGAGTGGAAAGTGAGTAGAATGATTAAAGATCGTCTTAGGCACTGAATGCAAATCAATCCTCACTTCCACTTCCGACTCACTTGGCCTACCACTTAAGCAACAATCCACATACTCGGTCATAGTTCTACTCAATTTGAAACCTTTGGATTCCAATGACAATCTCCACACTTTCAACCTTTTTTTACAATTGTCCCTTAAAACATATGTTAGTGACTTTAAAACAAAGAAAGAAACTAAACTGAGTATATCCCCAACCCTGTTCGGATCAAGGGGTTTGTACACAGCCTTACCCTTTTTACCCTTTTAGAAAACAGAGAGACTTGGCATGGAATAATGTCTACCTGATCTGCTCCACCACGGAGAACAATGGTGGCTGTCTTGCCAGATGGGCATCCACTGAATATGTTGAACCGCTCATTTCCTACTTGCCTCTCCTCAAAGCTCTCACATGATCCAAGAACCTTTTGCCACACAAAAATGCAGATGGTAAAATAATGGGCAAAGGATGTTCCTGAAAATATTAGAGCATGTTTGCCATTTTATATGTTGAGTTTATGGGAAACCAAAAAATACCTCGTCGATAATGTTGTTCACGGTTGTCTGCACTGTTCCACCTGTAGCAGCTGCCACCCTCTGCAAATCTTCCTCAGTAACACGGCCAGCACAAAATATATCTCGATCCGCAAAATACTGGCAATAAATGAATTTTTAAAAAGTCATAGTTTAGCTCCATTGGAGATTTGGATCATCTTTGCAATGGCATAGTGTCGTTAGGAAATCAAAGCCATATATAATATTATAAATAGATTAATACAGCATCAAAATTAGGGATGAATGAAAGAAGTAGAAAAATGCATGTTTTTATTAGTTTATGAAAATTATAGATCACCTCAAGCCTTAAAATTATAAAATGGCACATTGCCTGGTTGAGAATAATTAACAATGCAAATTAGATGTGTAAAAATAAGGTTAGTAGCTATTTAACCTTGCATCATCCCATCATCCGTCAAATTTTTCCTTCATCTATAGCTATTCATATTCTGCACTACCCACATTGCAGATGTATAAATCTATTTCCATAGAAGTAATAGAACATGCTGACACTTCGTGCATGGCAGTAACCAATGGTTCCTACCTTCCTATATTCGGAATCTCAGTGAAGGACATGCTGTGATTAGTTTATAACAAGCATTCTAAATCCAATGTTTGTAAAATAAAATTAGAGGGGGGGGGAGCTTCATGATAGGTACAGGAGAAGGAACTTTATAGAAGAGTGACTGTAATAAAACTTTCATGATTTAGCTGAGATACATAATTGGTAAAACAAATTAATAAAAACAGTTGAGAGATACATAATTGGTGAAAAAATGAATAAAAACAGTTGAGTGATACATAACCTCCCCAGACTCTACTCTTTGTGGGATCCTACTTGGTTGTTGTTGTTATTGATTTAGTTGAGAAATACATAATTGGTAAAAAAAATGAATAAAAACAGTAAACTCCCGCCACTAAGCACTAATGAATGAAGTGTGCTGATAACCAAACAGTGAGACATTATAACACACTCACAGTATAAACGCATAATTTTTCAAGTGCTTTGTTCCTAGGAAAATCAAGTTGATAAATAATGACAACTGAAAGCTACAAATCATCCACCAACCTGTGTTGCCAGATCACCAATGGCAAGTCTTGACAAAACAACTTTAGCCCCACTCTTGACACATTTATCCAACTTGTCATAAATGATATTCCATTCTGCATCAACAATTGATTGATACTGAGATGGATCGGAGAGCCTGTTATACACAATAATAAGTCAATGGAGCATTTTCAATCATGTGACTTGTGAAAGAAGTTAAAAACAGACATAAAAGCTTAGATTTTACTATGTGCAGTAATCATACCTTATCTCTGCATTTTCTTTCTCTGATTTCAGCTCCAACTCAATGTTGAGTAAAAGTATCTTGGGGTTTACAAATTTCTTAGGCTGTTGTTCAAAACCAGCATAGGAAAATGTTTTCTTGAACGCAACACCATTTACAAGGAACGAATCCCGCATAGTACCCCCAGGAACCTATATGTTTTGTTTTAAAATAAAAAGTTCAAGCATCAATTCACTGGGGTTAATTTGGGCATGGAAATGGATTCAGGAGAACATAAACATATGGGAGGAAACAAGGTTATACTGTATACATCACCAATCAGAATGTGTATACAGAAAAAAGCACATCCCAGTTAAGCAAACAAATCGAACCACTTTAGAGCCACATCAAGAGTTAACTGAACCTTGCACAACTCAAAATATATTCTATACCTTCTTTATTCCAATCATATTCAGCCTGTCTTCATTTCCAATTGCAACAACGGCATCAACAACCATGGTAGCGAAAAACTCTTTCTCCCCACCAATGAGTTTTGACGACAATGTTGTAGCAGCACATTTACCTAGCAGACTTTTCTTCTCATCAATGCTCTTTCCCTCTATGCTAATCGCCAATTCTTTTACTTTCTCAGTAGCCTATCATCACTTAAAGCATATTAGGAATATATAGATATATATATACACACACACGACATGGTAGCCAACCTATAACCCTGGCACATTAAGAGAGCGAGTGGGGAAGATAACCTACCAAGTTGCAAGCAGTTCGGTAACTACGAATCAGATTTTGAGGGTGGACTCCATCTTCAATGAAAGGCTTAGCTTCCTTTAGAAACTCTCCAGCAAGCAGAACAACTGTAGTTGTCCCATCCCCCACCTTTAAAAACAGAAATATTTACTTAAAATAAAATAAGGAAAGCAACACTTCTATTGCCATCACAATGTGAAGGCCAGGAGTCTGAGCCAGAGTTATGGCTTTACGTGCACCAGGGGAAATTAAAACGGGATAACATGACTGGTTTAAGGTTTCAGAAACGAAACTTGCATCCCTTGTGCTATAAGAAATGATGGGATAGACAGAATGCATGCAATGGCAAAAGCAAAACTAGCCACTGATAAAATAAAATAATACCTCAGAATCCTGAGATTTGGCAATGTCAACAAGTATTTTTGCAGCAGGGTGAACAATGTCGAGAAGCTTCATGATGGTAGCACCATCATTTGAGATTGTGGTGTTTCCCTTGTCATCGTGGATCAACTTGTCCATACCCCTAGGACCAAGTGTGGTTCTCACCACATCTGCCACAGCCGTACATGCATTTATGTTGCTTACTAGTTGTGCCTTCCCTTGAGAAGTATCAGTCCCTTCCTTTAGCAATATGATTTGCGGTTGCTGAAGAGTGGCCACACCAAAATTAAAGAGTAAAGCATTAGTAAACAAGCCTCAGAAGCAAATTTGTTTTTAAAATGCTTTCCAGAAGTTCCACACACTAACATTCAGCTAAAGAAACTGCATTTCACATAACCGGGCTCAAACGGGCCAGATACTGATTACATTATCAAATCATTTCTGGGTTTTTGTTAAATTTAACCGCATTTCGATGCAAACTTTATCAAGAAAAGTAGAAGGTTCGGAAATAAAAGTTTTGTTACGAGCTCATATTCTTGATTTCGTGTTTCACAGTGTCCTTTCACATTACCGTAAGAGTAACCAAGGGAAAGGAAGAAATTCAACAAACGTAATGGGATGGCACCAGATTGGGAGAAAACAGAACAAACAGAGAGCGCTTACGAGCATAGAAGACATCTCGCTCCTGGTTTTCTCGATCAACTGTAGAATTTCACACGGAGCAGTGTTGGAGTAGGGAAGGCACCGGTATGAGTCGCTAGGGTGTACGTAGGGTTCAAGTTCCTTTTCTTTTGCAGAGAGGATGAAGGGAAGGGAAGAGAAACTTTTCTGTTAATTACTTGGTAACCCCAATATTTTAGAATCCTCACACTTCTGGGTGAGGCTGATCATCCATGTGTTGCTATTTGTTGGATTGTTCTTGCGGGCCGAGGCCCCAAAACATGTACGGGTCCAATTACTTAGTTTTATATGAATTTTAAAATTTAAGGAGTGTGTATTCAATTAGGATTTTGATAGATTTTTTTCTATTTTCAAAGTTAGTAGGTATTTAATTAAGATTTTAAAAAATTACTTTAAATTTAGATGTATTCAATTCATATTTCAATAAATCTTTTCAAATCTGATGTTATTAAAAAGTTGATAGATTATCTAGGAATGATTAAAAATAATTATAATGTATATGCAAATTTGTAAGAGATACCATCTGTAATGCATCAATTAATGTACTACTTTTTTCAATGCAACTCTAAGGCAATAAAATTGAAGTTAACTTCTGTAACTTAATTCAAATTTAAAAAAACAATAATATAAGCAATGAAGCACAAAATGAGAGGGATGCTTCATAATATAATCTTGATATTACATTAAAAATTAAAATAAATTAAATCACTTACGAGGATGATATGACTTCATCATTTGTATGTGTCATCATTGAACAGAGAGGAAGACTTCATAGTATAATCTCGATATTGTGTTATAAACTACTCCTTCCTATCAAAAAGTTGTATAACTTTTTCAAGCAAATAAAACATACCTTTTTCCATCTCCATAGTTTGCTTAAAGCTTGTATTACTAAAGAAAGATTATTCGAGAGTAGCGATAAATGCATGAATAGGATCGATGATATTTTCAATGCTTCTTGCATCAAATAATGTCAGTAGTTTCTCATATTTGTCTCTACTTTTTCAACTTTTTCTTGAGTTCATCATTGGCCACCTTTATTGCTTGGTATAAACATGCAGAAGTAGATCTGTCACCATCAACATGTTGTAGGAAATCATTGTCTACTTCTGCACAATCATATTCCAGCAGAAATAAAGTTCGAACCATTATCAGTGATGAATTGAACTACATGTTAAGGCCCTACCATATCAATGACTTTAGAAGACAAACGACTTAAAATTAGTCTGATTTTCTTTTCTTCAGAAATCTCAACTGATTTTAGAAAAATTGAACCTTTAGGACAAGATGCAATAAAATTAATAAAACGTCTTCCTTTAAGACCAGTCCACGTATCAAACATGATGGAACAACCTGATGTAAGTTCGTGGGGCGCAGCGGAAATTGCCAATTGAAAGCTGTGCAAACAAATCAACCAACTGTGCTGCAGAGAAGATACTGCAGCACTGTCACAGAAACAGGTGACAGCCAGTGTGCTATAACACTTCTCTGTCACAAGCACACACAGAAGCAAATGATGCAGAGGGCGTTACAGCGCCTACTGGGCAGAATGTTGTAACTATAAAATGCGTAAAAATAACGCTAGATATGTTTACTCAGTTCGGAGAAACTCTCCTAATCTGCGGGGCCCACGTCCGTGTAATAGCCCTCCACTAAATTGCTAGATGCAAGTTACACCGGTACATAACAACATGATGAGACACACTTCTCCGAATTGTTGTGACAAAACTTCTAATTTAGGATTTCTAACATGTACCCTGTACAAATCCGCTCCGGCTATCACATCTCCACCGAGATCACGAGGACAAACATGTTGATAGCCTACTCGTTCAACTCTAATTCATCTCCTGGATATCACGATTTATTTGGCGTTGAAGATCTCCTCCTTCATGTAGATCTTAACCTTCTTCACGCATTGGAAGCTTTGGGACACGACGGGAACGCTCTACATCAGCGTATATTCTTTGTTTTCCCTCTCGATCGCTCCACGTAATTCCTAGGGACCCGCTGAAGTTGCACCGAAATGAAGAAGAACTTTTGTGCAAATCAGTCCTTTGGTGAGTGATTTTAAACCCTTTAAATTCTTAGACCACATTGATGTTTTGTTAATGACAATGTTTGTTTCCGTTTATGTTATGATATTAACAAACCGCTAGGAACATGGAACAAAATGAAAAGACTCAAAGGCATAGCGAAAGTTCTTTGAAGGAACAAAAGCACAAGAAAGGCATTGACGTTTCTAAAGACAACGATATTGACATTTTGACGATGTTGTTTAAACACTTAGTTTTTATTGTAACAAGCTCATTCAATTTCTTCAAGTCATGGCTCAAAACAAAATATGTTTTTCATGAATCAAATGAGTGTTTTCATAAATGGTTTTAAGCTTCCAAAACCCCTGGTCCTTGCCCAACCAAAACCATAACCATCGGCTATCGGCGTTTGGTTTTCAGCGTTGGTTATTGGTGTTTGGGTGTTTTATCTTTGGTTTTTTGCTTCCGGACACATTTAAAGGTTTTTCAAATGATTATTTTCAAAAACCATAACCTTCAATTTTTGGCGTTGGTTATCAGCATTTAACGCTGATTATCGGCGTTGGTTTTTGGCGTCAAATCAACCAAGTGGTTTTAAAGATTTTATGATTGGTTTTACCCCTGGGCATATCCAAATAGTTCTCCAACAAAAACATGTTAAAAAACACCTTTCGTTCTTAGTCTTTTGACAAAAATCATGTGAAATGGCATAAACTTGGCTAGTCGTGACTTTACCTTAATGACTTGGTTTTTAAATTTTTATACTTGGTTTTTACCTAAAATACATTATATAAATGTTTCTAACACTTGGTTTTTAATTTGGGAAACTTTGATTTTTGGCATCAATTTTCGACGTTGGTTGCCAAACCATGGTTCTGGCGAACCAGTCCAACAGCGATGTAGGCCTACCCAACAACGTTGTTTTGCAATGGCAGTATGTTTCAAAACAACGATGTTGAATTCTGAACATCCATGTTTTGCCAAGTTGGCTCACGTCGGTTTTTGGTAGTAGGTTTTGAACAGCGATGTTCATTGGTGAACATCGATTTTTCAAATGACTGTTGGGGTATTTAATACAAAATCTTTCCATTTTTGAAAGTCAAACATCCTAACATCGATGTATGGCCCTCAAAGTATTGATGTTTTGATGACCGTTAGCCATTTATAAAGGAAAGTCAAAGCCAAAACGGCGATGTTTACTATATGAACATCGATGTTAGGCCAAAATTTTGTAGATCAATTTTGATTTGATTTCCACAAATCATGCCAATAAATCCCAATCAAGTCCCATCCGTTGCACATCATTTTTGGGTATAAATAAGGGTATTTTGAGTATACTTTTCACAACCATTCCATACACATTTCATAGCTTTACATTGAATCATTTCATAAACTTTTTAGAGCCATTTCTTGAGGAATTGAATGTGTTCTTGATCTAAATTAGTTTACTCATATTATACTCTTTGAGAGAGTTTTTGTTCTTGAGTGGTTAAGTGTTGTAAACACTTTAAGGGAGGTTTGTTCCCTAGGTTGTACGAAGGAAGGGTATATTCCTTCAAGTTGAAGTTTTGAAATGCAGTATCTCCGAGCAAGTGTATTGAGGCTCGTGGGACTCGAGTTCTCAAGTTGTAACGGTTTGTTAAATACTCGCAAACTTAACAGCAGTAATGTAGCTCGAGAGAGTCCCTCGGGAGACTGGACATAGCCACACATTGTGGTGAACTAGTGTATATCAGTGTGTTCTTTACTTATTCTTCTGCGATTTTTATTCCACAAAAAATTATAAACATTCTCGTGCCTCACTATTCACCCCTTTAGTGAAGGGCACTTACTCTAACATACACTTTGTTATTTTAATCTGGTTTTTTAACAAAAGTTGAAGCCTTATGTCTTACGAATCCGTAGCTTTAAAGGGTTTGCGATTTCTTTGAGTAACAAAGGATATATAACCCAAATATCAGCACTAGTATTGCTATGACGGGGATTGACAGACTTCATGAATTCCGAAGTTTTTTGCGCTCTCGTCCGTTTGTTGAGCTTCATCTCGTCGTTTTCCAAGTCCATACCATGATTTTAAACAATGTCAAAAGGCGTGGAATGATCCTTGAACATATTTGTATATGTTATTTGAAAATGAAGTTTTGTTGTTGAAGCTTCAAATAAATTATTTGAAAATCATCTATAGATGTTAGATAATGTTTTTATATAGTTAAAATGAAGTTTGGTATCTTAAAATGGTATTTTAGAAGCTTGAATTCAGGTTGAAGACGAAGTACTCTACAAATTTCGAACCAGTTCGCTATAGCCGAACATTCGAACGTCACATGGCCAGTACTGCGGTAGCGGTAACAGTAGACCATTACACGGTAACGGTCGTATCACAGGCTATTCAGCATTGGGAATATTCGAATCTTGAAATTGTAAAATCCTATTTTGCTACTTCTCAACTATAAATCATTATTGCTATCATTCCCAAGATAAAATAACATTTTGATCAATTCTAAAACTTTAATTGTTGCATGACGATAAAATGGGGTATTAACACTCGACATTAAGACGTTACTTGTCGTTAGATGTTATACGATGATGATGATTATTAAATATCAAATATGATGGTTAAAACTGGTGCCATGTGTAAATATAATTATATAATGACGATGATGATCTTCTCTTGTTTAGATGTCAAAATATTAATATGAACAAATAAGTCGTAGGATAGTTGTGATTGAAGTTATGATTTCTAAATTATAACTATTTGTATGTTTAGATCCTGAATAATTATGATTATGGAGAATGAAATTGTTATGACAAATTGATTATATTATGATGAAGGTATCTTGAGTGATTATAAAACTATTGTGTTAAATTAATGATTAAGGATATCTAAAAGAATTATAAGATAGACCTCATATGACCAATTTAGTTAGGCCTTATGGATGTGCACATCTAGTGACCCGGGTTAAAACGTACGTACTGGATCCTCAAATCATTTAGGAATATCCCATCTGGGGTACCACCCATATGGTGGTGAGTAGACCACCGTTCGGTTTCTGAGCATGATCTATAGACCCAATGAATAGGTCATGATTTTGTGTTCTGCCTTAAACTAATCATTGTTTAAGAGGTTAACAATAATTGCGTTGGACAAAGAATAGTTTAAGAGCTTTGTCATCAATATGAATTAGTCTTAAAATAAGAATAGTTTAAAAGCACTATTATTAATGAAATGATATGGAATTGGCCCATTAGCAGAGCAAAAAACAAAACATTTAAAGTCATGATTTAATTAGTGAGAAGCAGGAGTGGCCGAACGAATATGGTTGGGGTGGCAGTGGTAGCCTATGGCGGATTGTGGTCAAAGAGTTAGTTGAAAGATATATCATTGTCCAATAGTAATATCTTCCAAATTCATATCTTCCGATAGCAAATTTCTTTGTTATTATTTGGTGAGACATAAAAAGAATTCAATTTTTATATTTCCAAACATCACAAATCCTCCAATGGAGAGTTTCAATAACTTCCGAATTTGAGAAATCAAAATGGAAGTTTCATATAAAAACTCTCTCAACAATCGACCACCCTCATTGCCGGCCACCGCCTATCTTTATTTAACTTATGATTTTAAATTTATCTAGACAACTTCATTTCTGAGTTTAAAATTCATATCATTTCTTTGAAATTTCAAAACAAATATCATATCATATATCCAAAACTCGCCAAACCTGCCATTAATCTTTTAGCGAGTGTGATCAATGTATTTTTCATGTTGACACTTGAACCTCCACTTTTGGCAGCCTAATCTGGCAGGTCCAAATCTTTGGCGTTTCCTGCTAGAGAAGAGTAAAACGACCAGACCCATCAGACTCATTCGATCTTTTGAAAATATCACTATAATAGAAGATTAGACCATACTAGCCTTTTTAAAAAATCGATCTTAATCAATCTGGTGTTCGTAATAAAAACAAAGACCATTTAAGACCACCGGTCACATTCGATTCAGTCCATAGTGCAATCTAATATGGTCTATAGTCCCAACATTAACGTAGTGTATTTTTTATTTAAAAATTCAACATAACACAATGGTGATACATTTTGATCTCATAGTATAATGATGTTCAATGGTCTATATGTTTCTAAGAGAGTAAGAGGTACGGAGTAATAGTATTATACGAGTATGGTATTAGGATAATATGATGACATCATGATAAGCTTGGCAACATGTCTAAGTTTGAGTTTTAGACATACGGAGTACTTTAGTAGCTCATTACTTTAAAAATGAGCTACTATGCTAATTATTGAAGTATAAAATATGGATGCTCGGATTTGTTTTTATGTCCTTACGAAGTATTTTCAAGTCACAAATCTCCAATTACGGTATCGCGGTCACTAATTCTGTTTGTATATACATGAGTTACTTATTAAATAATACGTAATACGGAGTATACTAATAATTAGATTTTTTTTATTTTCTTAAAGTAGTTTTTGGATGATTGATCTTTTGGACTGATCTTCGATCAATCTTGAATCGAATCGAATTCTTCATAGGTCCTTCACTAGTCTCAGACTAATCCTAATCTTCTTTACAAACTAATGTCATGTTCTCTTCAACTTATATTTATTACTTATTACTTTTTCTTATCAAAATCAATTCAGAAACAATTTTAAATAAAACTACATTTAAATCATATCAAAATTTATTCTAATCAGCATGAAGTAAAAATAACATGAACTAAGAACCTGACTAGCGTGAAGGACTAGTCCATCCTCTATCTCCCGCTGAACACCTGCTTCTCAAAAGATCACAGACACCGGGTTAACGAAATTAGCTCCAGGCTTCGAATTTCGCAATTTCTGTTTCCCAGTTGGTGGTGCTTTACTGTACTCGGTATTAATGACTCACTCCCCTAATTTTTTAAAATTTATACTCCGTATTTCGCTGATCTTTTCTAGAATTGTGGAGACGAGCAGAAACTCTACTTTTATTCTTCTTCAGGTAGTTTTGTTTCGGGATATGGAGCCAGTAGAGTTGACGGAGCAGGAGACTGCCATCTACGATCGTCAGATTAGGGTTTGGGGTGTTGATGCTCAAAGACGGTATGTATCTTTCGTGCTCACCTAAAAATCTGTTAATGGTGCTTAATCCATGTTGCCTGTTTCTCACTTGCTTCTACATAGCCGTAGAAGAACTCCATATCCGTATATTTCAGTTAAAAGTTAAGAAGATTTGCAGAATACGAATGTAGTTTAAGTTCCACACCTTCACAATGTTGTTTACTGCCTTTGCCTAAGCTGTACTCGTTCTCTGGTAGAAATAAAACTTATCTTCATAGTTCAGCATTGAATTGAATCGCAGGGGTTTAGGTTTAGTTGAGATGATGGTATTACTCTTTGCTTCTTAGTAGTTTCTTAATGTAAATTGTCATAGTATCTCTAAAATCTACATAGGACTTGTTTAACCAATCTAGTTCAAGTTTTTTTTCAAGAACCTGTCTACATCAAGATATTGAAGATGACAGCACAATCGCTGCTACAGTCTACACTTCAATTACAATACGCTCGATAGTGAATAGTACTAGTGCTTGAAATCCTTGAATTTTAGCTTCACAGTTGAACATTAAATCACAGGGTAATGAGGGCATTAGGTTTTTTGAAATTATTCACCATAGTGGAGTAAATAATAAAAATAGGAGGGATAAATTGAGCAAAGTAGACATGGGAATTTAACGTGGTTCACCTTAAACGTTTATGCTACATCCACAAACCAATATATTTGATTATTTCTTCTTCTACTGTTACAAATAGTAGGCTCTCAGAGTTAACTCCAAAATAGTGGTTTACAATTATTTCGCCACTTGGAAATATTCACCTCACTGTTTCATCACACACTATTCTTTTAGGAAAATATTTCCTAAGCATTCACTCTCATTTTTTCATCAAAGCAAAACTTTTTCTTTTGGCTTACTCTCTTAATTGAATTGACAAACTCTCTTTGCAAAGCTACTCTCCCCATCTCTCTATTTATAGGGAAGTTTTACCGCCACTAGGATTGCTGCCACTAGGATTGCCGCCTCACATTTGAGTACTCAACTTTGTTTTTTTGCCTTTCTCCACCACCAGAGTTAGCTGCCACAAGTCGTAATCATATGTTTTTTCTACATTTCCAGCCAAAATCTTTGAATACTTTTTATAGTTTTATACTTATTCCTTAAGAGTTAACATGTGGGCCCTCCAAATGAAGAGACCTACCTAACAAAAATGATGGAATTATTTTTTGTTTTGTTAATAGTATTTTCCTATAACTTATTATAGTATCTCAGAATTCCACATAAGCCTAATTCTTTGCCACAACTTGTCCATGTAGTTTTCTATACTTAAAAGGTTGTCTTCATCCCCATCTTTTATCTTAATTATATATGAATAGCAACTTAAGTAGCTGCTATCGTGTGGGGTTTTCATATTTCAATTCTTATTGTTTTTGTGGTCACCGGGCGTTTTACATGTTCAATGAAAGACTAAATATTTTATTTGCAACAGACTTAGCAAAGCTCATGTATTTGTCAGTGGACTCAAAGGGACTGCAGTTGAGGTACTAAAAAAAACTCTAACAAGTTTGCATTTATTGCGATATTATATTGTCTCTAGTAAATTGTAATTACATTAAAAAGTTAAAACCATCATACTGTCAACTTTTCATAAAATTGAAAAATGTGATTTGTTTTTTTGAATGCTGCAGTTTTGCAAAAATATTGTTTTAGCTGGAGTTGGTTCTTTGACCTTGAACGATGATCGTATGGTGACTGATGAATTACTCTCTTCCAATTTTTTAATCCCTCCGGATGAAAATGTGTTTATTGGAAAATCTGTTGCTGAGCTTTGTTGTGATTCGTTGAAAGAATTCAACCCCATGGTTCATGTTTCTGTCCAGAAAGGTTAGCCTGATTTATGAGTTTGGAAACGATTGGACTGCTTCCAAGTTCCATCATTGATTCAACTTAGCAATGCATTTCCTATAAAGGATCTTGTTGATACTAGAAGATTTTCTTCACATATTATGCTTAATTTACATGGAACACTTAGTGTCACAGTAAATAGTGTCATTATTGACTTCTATGACCTAGTCTTATTTGTATGTTCTAAGCTACTTAAATAAAAGTGCTACATATTAGTGTACACAGTACATCCAGCTCTAAACCATGCAGTTACAGAAACTTACATTGAAATGATTGAATACTTGTTTTCTCAAGATGGCTGTAGTTAGGGGTGGGTTCGGTTTAAACGGTTCGGTTTTTACCTAAAACCAAAGACAGAACGGAAGGTATTTTGGCGGTGCGGTTCGGTTTTGTAAAAAAAAATAGAAAACCAATCGTTATACGGTTCGGTTTTTAGCGGTTTAAATTTCGGTTTTTAAAAAATTTAATTTAAAAGTAAAATAAATAAACTGCAATTACAAGTAAAAAAACACAAGTCCGTCTCCCCAAAAACAAGTCCATCTCCGCAATTATTACAGCCAGAATGCAACACATACTACATCTTTCTTGTTTCTCATCCTCAATAAGAGTTGATTTCCTTTTCCCCATCAAAAAAAATAAAAACAAAATAAAGAGGAAGTGATACTGATATTTTAGCTGAGAGCCTTGTCAATTTCTTCCGCATGCCCTCTTAGTGCATGTCACAGCACACTGCAAAGGAGAAAAGTTAAATTATTTCTACATACCACTAATTATTTTTAGTAATTAGAAGTTATTCTAGTGATTAAGCCACCAAAAGTGACTCACTCTATTAAATGCAAGAACAGATGTTTTCTTTATGGCTTAGTATTGCTGAGGTTTGATTCTACCAACAAAAGACAGCAATTTTCAATACATCTTATGTTGTCTCCAGCTCAAGATTTAATCATCCTAGGATATACTGGTAACAAATGAACACAATACCTGCAAGAATGAATCTTCAATGTTAAACCTGCAAAAAGAATGAATCTGCCATATTAAACCTACAAAAAGAATATTTATATGCATTCCAATTAGGTAGGATATACTAGTAAAAAATGAACACAATACCAAAATATTTATGGGAAACTTCCATTGCTACGTCTAGGTCTGGGGAACATTTACAGTCTAGGAAAAACTTACAATCTGGGGAAAATTTATACTCTGGGAAAAAATTTACAGTTTAGGAAACTACAATTGCTAGAATCATTTGATAAAAAAATTAAAGAACATATGATTTCATACCTTCTTGGGTTAGATGCTTCAATCTTGGACAAAAATTGAAGATTCTCGTCACTAACTTCGGAAGTGTTGGACGGCGCTTGTAGACTAAGGTCAATAGGCAGATTGTCCTTGAAGAAGAAACCAATTGGCTGAAGTAATCTGGCGAATTCAATAGGCCGAAGTAATCTGCGTCTGCGTCTGGAAAATTCCAACTTGATGGCGCTTGAAGTAATTTGTTTGACTGCGTCTGAGAATCTGATGTAACCCGATTTCGTTTCTTGGAAATTGGAAGTGTTGGAAGGCCGACGGCGCTGGGACTCTGGAAGCCTGGAACGCAAATCTGCGACTGAGGAAGTGTTGGACTGCGTCTGCTTATCTGCGTCTCCTAATCGAACAAGTGACTCACGCGTAATTGCGTAAATCCGTATTCCGTAAACATAAAAACCTAGAAGTAAGTACTATTCGGTTTTTTACAATTAGGTTCGGTTTTAAATAGCCAAAACCGAAACCGAAACCGAATGCAATCGGTTCGGTTCGGTTTTTGGAGTTTGGTTTCGGTTTTTGCGGTGCGGTTTTTTTGTTGGTATTGTTCGATCGATTTCGGTTCGGTTTTCGGTTTTCGGTTTTCCAAACCCACCCCTAGCTGTAGTGGCATAGTGTACTCAGTACTGTGCTTGAGAGTCCCTACTTGAGTGTCCGGAGTATTCTTTTACAATAGTTGTACCTGAAGTTGCAACCGTTTTATGATCAAGGAAACATGCATGCCCTACACAATCATCTGTTTCTCATGAATGTGTGATGCCAAGTGGCAGTGTGTAGAATGCTTAACGGGTTCTATGTGTAGTCATGCATAATACTCCATACTAGTTAGTAGTTACTACATTCATCATACAACAACAACAACCCAGTTAAATCCCACAAGAGTAGGGTCTGGGGAGGGTGTGTGTACGCAGACCTTGCCCCTACTTGAAAGTAGAGAGGCTGTTTCCAAAGAGACCCCCAGCTCAACATCGAAAGTTGCATTGCTTGACTAATTGCTACTTCATTAATTAAAGAAGCGCAGATAGTTTAGAGATCCATTTTGATTTATTCCATCACACCCCAAAGCCAAAAAATGGTGAAATTTTGGCTCCATCGGAGATGATGGAAAAAACTACATTCATCATATATTATCATATTCTCTTGACATGCTATAGAAGTTGTTTATATTGCACTTGCCATGCTCTAACCATAGTCACCTAAATAGCGGTACATTCCGGTATGGGTACGCGGTACGGGTACGAAATTTGCTAGAGGTGACAAATTCGGTACAAAGCGGTACGGTGTACGATGTATTCAGTTTGGTGTACCAAAAGTCAAAATATAAGTAAACAAAATTTCTGAATATCAATAGATAAGATGAGCATAAGTGCATAACATTACAAAATCCAATAGAAAAACAAAACATCAACGAAAATATTCTAATCTACTCATTGCCCTTTTCCTCTCCCACTGGTGTGACTTTGAGTTTGGCTTGCACTTTCGGCTTGTTCAACAGCTTCAACTGCATCATCAAGATCAACATAACTGGGTGTATTGCTAATATGGGTCTCACTATCATCTTGAGTATTATGGGATTTATTATTTTTGCAATTGAAAAAAAGAGAGAAAAAATGGATATACTGATTCTGACATGAAGAATTGCAGTAGAGGAATAGAGGCTGGGTTGTGAGTGGTGAGAGTGTGAGACAATACATGTGCAGTGCTTAGTATATACTTCGGTATATTAGTATAGTATTTAATTGTAAATTGAATTTTGAAATAAATATTAAATGAGTTGCTCTTTTGATAAGACATTGGAAAGTGGAGATACACTCAATACGGATGGGAACTACTCAGTATTACGGCTGGGAGCTGAAGTAATCACTGTTTTCACGCACAAAAAATGGAAGAAAGTTGCCCATTGGAAGACAGAAAGTTGAAACGGAGACGGTTTGCTGTACCTCTGGCGATTGGTACGCCTTAAATTCCGACTTGGTGCGCCGTACCAAGGGGTTGGGGATGATTTCATTTTGCTTTGGTGTGCCGTACCAGCTCGATCTGGTTTGCTGTACCACGTCAAAGGGTATGACGTACCGCTGACGTTCGGATCGCAATCGAATTGCAATTGGGTACGCCGCATACCAATACTGAAGACGCGGCTGTAGCAGCGAATTCTGTGACTATGGCTCTAACCAAGTAAGAGCTAGGTCATGGGTTCAAGTCATTTATATTAACTCTGATTTCTCACTCCTTAGAAGCTTCATGTTAAGGAGTTTTGACTTGAGAGCCTTGAAAGAGTACATGTAGGGTTCGCAACAATATGAATACGTCAAAAAAATGTTGCACAATATGATAAATTGACTCACTGAAAGAGAAAAAGACAATACACTTGAATTTTAGTTGCTTGGGTAGTTGAATACTATGGTACAATGTCAATACAATAAAAGAATGTTGCACATTTATTTCGCATCACGTGTTTTTGCATTTTCTACTTAGGGAATAGAAATTTGTGATATTAAGAAATCCAATTGTCAAATTCACCAGGATATATTTTCAAGTCGTGTTTGCATTTTAATATTCATTTTTGGAAGTGCTGGTCTCAACAAAATTTAGAATTCTAATTAAACTCACAACTTATGTTCTAGGCTATTTGTCAAGTTTCGACACTGATTTCTTTGATAAGTTTGATGTTGTTGTCATCAGTCACTGCTCTCTTTCAACCAAGGTATTGCTATATAAATACATATGTTTCATCATCGAGGGTATAATTGAATCACTTTGAAACTAATTTTATAATTTTCTTTCTGCAATTCTTCCACAGAAATCTGTAAATGCAAAGTGTCGAAAGTTGTCAAAGCACATTTCTTTTTATACAGTGGATGTTAGAGATTCTTGTGGCGAGATTTTTGTTGACTTGCAGAACTACACATATTCTAAGGTTAGAAATGATCAGATCTATTTTATGCATCACTTAACAAGGTCGCTACCCTTAATTTTTCCTTATTATTCAATGTAGATCATACTTACACCTTGTAATTTGTCTTTTTTCTCCTTTGACAGAAGCAATCTGAAGAAATGACAGATTGCCAAATTAATTATCCAAGCTTCGAGGTATCAGTTTTTCAAGGTTTCACTATAGTAATTTTTAAAAAAGAGTTCTACACACTCATTTTCATGCTGTACAAGCATGGATGTATGCTTAATCTGCTTTTTCATATGTCTACTTTTGTGTTATTTCTACAGGAAGCTATTAATGTCCCATGGGCAGATTTACCAAAGAGAACATCAAAGCTATATTTTTCTATGAGAGGTAAACTTGCAAATACTTGATGCTCTGATTATAAATTTCTCGGGTAAATCTGCAAATTACTTTTGACAACTCACTCCGGTTTAAAGGTGCAACTGGATGCATACTAGTGTTTGAAAAATATATCAAACTCTAAAATCTTTTCGAAACAATCATGAGTGCTCTCTCTCTCTCTCTCTCTCTCTCTGCTCTTTACTTATACTTTGTCTGTGCTTTATTTCTGCTTGCCTGTTCTTTTGTATTTGGGTATCTTAGAAATAGCCTCTTTACTTCCAAGTAGGGCTAAGATTTGTACTACACTCACCACCCCAGACCCTACTCTTGTGGAATGGAATTTCTAAACAATAGTGAGTGTTCTATTTGTTTATCTCTACCAAAATAAAAAATACAAGTGTCAGACAACTACTAAAACCTGATGCTGAAAAACGCACACATTAGTGTGTCATGGGAATGTAATTTATCTGGATCGTATATACAAAAGCGGAGAGAATCCACCAATGCACTATGCCCGCCCTTCGAATCTCATGCAACTATTGGGTTCCATGGAAATATTTTATGTGCCCTTCTTTCGTGAAGATCCCAAAGAAAGAAAGGACCCTATCTAACATCATTTGGAAGTTTATAGTACATTTTGTTCTGTAAGCTGATGATAAGTTGAACTATAAGTGTACATTACATCTCATCTTCATATTGTCCTTTATCATCTGCACCCCAATTCTCTCTACATACTGTTGTAGAACTTGGTATGAGAATAAAAGTTCATTCCAACACTTTTAAGTTAAGATATGCTTTTAGGAATTGTCCACTATAATATCTTGAGATCTCCAATAACATTCTTACATGTACTACCTCCCTCCCAATAAAATAATTGTGTGACAAACGCATAACCTTATTCCAAGTTATTAGTCGTACTTGCTCCCTCCGTCCAGATTACTCCAGAAACAAACATCACACGTCTTCCATTTCTTATTAACTAATGGAATCTGTGGCTCACAAGGCACAACATTTCTTTTTTTCTGAACAATTTTCAATCACACACAGTGAAGTTATTAACGAGACGGAGGAAGTATTTTTTTATATGTAGATTTGCAGCTTAAAGTAAATTTATTATATAATGTAACTTGTCTGTTTGACTTTTTTTCGACATGTTACATAACAGAGTAGATTATTTTTACAAATGAAACTTGATTCTAAATCTATTGTCTGCTCTCGGCAAGTGCTGGGGGCTGTGGTAAATTCTATTGACATTTGGTAAATTCTTGTTCTTCCATATTTTCAAGTGGCAAGCAGTTGCATTCATTTGCTAAATGGATGTAGCAATAAGTGTTTTTTTCCCTCCATATTCATATGTCAAGTGAACGGAATCGCTGCAACCTGTCTTGACACGTCGATGTTTAACTTTGTAGTCATAGAAAGGTTTGAGGAGAGTGAAGGACATGAACCTGGAAAGACTTTTAATGCTGCTGACCTTCTTACAGTGCAGAACTTGAGGAAGGAACTATGTGATGCTCAGGTATGCCAGCCAGACTATAGATTGAGCTGTGAAACATTACTGTGAATAACTATATGTTAATTATGCAATCTATTTTATTTATTTATTTATATTTTCAGGGGTTAAATGAATCTCAAATACCTGATAATCTTCTGGGACGGTTGTTAAAGGGCACAGAAGAGTTTCCTCCAGTTTGTGCCATCATTGGAGGAATTCTTGGACAGGTTATCTTTAATATTAGGCACATGAATATGGTTCTTCTCTTTCAGCATGCTGTATCGAAATCATAGATGTTAAAATTGAAATTATTGCTTGGGTACGTAGGAGGTGATTAAAGCCATATCTGGCAAAGGCGATCCAGTCAAGAATTTCTTCTTCTTTGATGCTATGGATGGCAAAGGCGTAATAGAAGATATATCTGGCGTCAAAACAAGTACTGGAGACTTGCCGAGTCAGAACATTGAGATTCTCTAGGCATGGTGCGTATTCTAACTCATTAGTTGTATGGGTAAATTACATTTGAGATTATGCTTCACTGGTAATGTTTGTTTGCATAACCATTTACCTGATATGAGGATGACATTATCTCTTTTTCTATTGGCTTAAATTGGCAATGAATTCCGTTCTTACCCTTTCACATTCATTTCCATTTTTTCCTTTTGAACTTATTTCATAACATTTTTTTTATATATTACGGAGTATTATTATTAATAACGTGAAAACCTGTGAGCTGCGACCACTACTCAAAAGTGTGCATTCGCTGCTGTGTGACTAGTGTGCGAAGGATACGAAGAACTAAGCCAATCTAGGTTATTCGTAGTTAATAGCTAACCACATAGGCAAATAGACAATTCTCACTAGAAACAAACTTGTAGTACTCTAACATTTTACCTGGTTTGTCCTTGAAGAAATTATTTAAAAGATGTGTTTGTTTTCCTTTATGGTCCTCTAAAAGCCACGGGTATGTTTTTATTTTTTGAATGTTTTATGTAGTTTAGCGTATTTTTTTGCAAATGTGCGTAGATTTCAATTACATATTTTTATTTTATTAATAATTATGTTCTGTTAAATCATACATTCTTTTCAAAACGAGAGTAGAAATAAGGTTTCTTTTTTTTAAAAGAAAGAATTTTGTGGCTTTATAAGCTAGCCGTATTTTTTAGAGTAAATTTTATAATTGGACTTTTATAACAGGAATATTTTCATATTTAGTTATCTATTACGGAATATTAAATATTACTCTCATAGTCTTTTTATGAATTCCTTTTCACAAATGATCTTTTTTAATCTTATGCCATGTTGGTGTTAATTTAAAGGCTAAAAGTATAATTTGACATCAGCCTTATGTCCATGACGTATTTTGATATTGGTTAGACGAATAACATAAAAACAATGACTATGATTGTGAGTTAGGATTCTGACGAAAGACCATATCTATAGGCTGTGATTGTAGTAGAAATCAACTTTATTTCACACACGACGAATCAGGAGTGACCCTTGGAATTGTGTATGACAAAAAAGATACATTATCATTATCAAATTATACTTTTAACTCTCAAATTAACATCAACAGGATAGAAGATAAAAAAGACTATTTGTGGAAAGATACCCATAATAGAAGAACCATCAGGGCAATATTTGATAATAGATGATTAAATAGAGAAATCTCCTTATTATAAAGGATCAATTATGAAATTTACTCTATTTTTTACAACATAAATTTTAATGGCACGATATTGTTTCGTTTTTAAGATAAAACCATGAGTAGGCAACAATGCCATGTTGCATGCATATCCCAAACACATGACTAGTTGTGTGTGTATGGTACAAGAGCGGCCAAACGTGATTTGGATGTTGTGGGCAAGTTAGAACAATACATCAAATGTGGTTCAATGTATTAGCCAAATTGGTCAATAGGGGCATTAAAAGAGGTAATGTCTAGGTCCGACTTCTGGCAATGACACTACTAGTCAGTTTAAAATTAAAGTTTAATTTACATGTATTGGGCCGGTTCTGAGGACCTTAGTATGAAGTTTTTGCTTTTTTACGCAGAGTAATAAATTTTCATCTTAGGGGCTGTTTGTTTCAACCTCTTAATGGTTCAGATGTCTGAATGGTTCAGCACTTAATGGTTCAGACTGTTTGTTTCAGCCTTTTAATGGTTCAGAATGTCTGAATGGTTAAGAGATTTGCCTCTAAATGGTTAAGTATTATACAGAGTCTGAATGGTTAAAACCTCTTATCTGAATTGATCAGACATTTGCCTCTGAATAGTTAAGCAATATACTAGCTCTTAATGGTTCAGACCTCTTACTGGTTCAGCACTTAATGGTTCAGACCTCTTACTGGTTTAGCACTTACCTATTCAGAAGTTGCCAAACAGCCCCTTACACAATACTCCGTCATTAGTCTATTGGTTTATAAGAAGTGTCATTTTGTAGAAAAGTGTAATGCCGAGAAGTCGAATACGATTGCTCCGTATATTCTAAAGGATTGTATTCTAAAGGATGAGCCCCATTCTTGAGGGACCCCTTAAAATTGGTCGGACAGTGGCAAAGAATGGAGCGTGCACCTAGTATTTGAAAAAATTCTATACTTAACATAATTACCTCTTATTTCAGTTACTAAAAATCAAATCGGGTCTGACCCCTTTGGCATTCCTTGTCTTAGGTAACTGTCTTAGGTAACATACAAATTGTACTCGGTATTTTATTTTAATTTTTAAAAGAATTGAGTTAAAAATAAATTCTATCAATAATGGAGAATACTTCGTAAGAAAGCCCTTCTGTAGAAGGTAGTGCCATTGAGAAAGAGTAACATTAACATCTCAAAGTACAAGCCTTGTGTATATTATGACAAAATATTAGAGTACATAGTTCACATTAATATATGAATAACTCATCTCTTAAAAAAGAAAAGAACAATGGTCAAATAATGCAGGATAGGCTCAAGACAAGTAAAAAGATCCCATTTGACCCAAAAACTCCAGCAAAACTGCCCAAACAACCCGAACTAGACTGCCGGTCAGTATCCTCGTCGCCCACGTCGCGAGGATGATCGAAATTAGCGGGCACCAACGTTTCTGGGACGGCATTGTCATCGCCGGACTGTGGGCTTGCCGGGGCTGGTGATTTATCGGGAGATTTCAGGCTAGGTGGCAAGCCTTGACCATATGTGACATTGACCATCAAACGTTGCCCGTTCTTGCACTGTTCTCCGTCATAGTCGGCAGAGAGGAAATACGTCACCCCGACCTTCGTAAGTGGCACCGCCACCGAGGCCGGGTGTGGGGAGGTGGAGGACGGGTCTGTGGATGACCACTGGATGGAGCTTTCGTCATCCTCATCGTCACACCGTTCATATGTGGTCTCATTGTACGTCTGGATTACCGAGTGGTTGGTATCGGTAATATTGAAAACTGCAACATTATTCAAATTAAATAAAATTTAAAATAGATTTGAAGACCCAATCACATTACTTCAGACTTACACTTAGCAGTACTTGAAGTAAAAAAATGTAAAGTGAGAAGTAGGCGTGGTAGTAAATTAAAGCGTTTTACTCAAAATAGTTATCACCATTGCCGGCCTTTTAATTATTTGGTTTTATTCAGCAAGTTTAAGGTACAACACAAGTTTGACTGGTTTACTTTTTTTCTTCTCATGTGAAAGTTCTGTAGATTTCCAAACCTAATGCCGATTTGCAGTCTAAAATAATTGTCTCTGAATATTTGTCCAGTTTTGATTTTTTTCGATCAACTGTTTTCAACCTTTGATCTATAATAAAATAAAATATGCATTATATTTTCATTAAATAAAATAATCTTTTGAAAATATTTGATATAACAAATCTAATAAAACTCTTTTTGTATCAATATGTAATATCTTTTTTTATTTAATTTGAAGTTAAAGTTTACCAATTTTGACCGAAAAAAGTCAAAAGTGGACAAATACTCAGGGACGGAGGGAGTAGTTCAAAACTTTTTTGCTCCATTTACTCTCGAACTTTTCAAAAATTATGCCTTTAAAAATTGCACCAATAACTCCGGACTTTTAAAATATTGCTTCAGTATTTTCTTTATACTAGATTTGAGAGTGCATTAATTACACACTTGGTAATTTTCTAGACTGCAAATAATAATTCCGAATAGAGACAAATAGCATCAAGAAGGAAAATGTTAGAGTCACAAACATATAGTTCACAAACTTTACAAACTTGGCTTTTATGGATTTTAAATTAAAATATCATTAATTATTTGAGTGTATCTTATTTTTATGAAAGTGTTAAAAAGGCAAGTTTGTGAATTTTGTGAACTCTTTGTTTGTGACCCTAGCATTACTCCATCAAGAAAGTTGACAATTAATTGAGTATGCAAGTAGCCATGCAAGTATGGTAAATTCTTTTGTAAATGGAAGATTCATACTCATTTTATGGATCTTAGTGTATAAATATTTGATGGATTGGACTATTTAAAAAGAATAAAAGAATCTCATGTTGGCCCATGGAAAATATGAGAAAGTGTGAGAATGTATATGTATTTTATATGTGAACTTTGGGATTATAGAAGCACAATCTAAATGTTCTATCGATCTGTATTTTATAGACTATCCATCTGTATTGTGTGTGTACACAATCTTTAAAAACTCATTTTCATGTAAATGTGAAAAATATTTTCAAATGAGTTGGTCTTAGAAGCAGTCAAGTAATACTCTCTATCCCCACTTAACTTCCCAATTGATTTTCATAGTCTCAAATGTAAAGAATAACAATTTGATCATTAATATTTATACATAGATATATTTTATAAAATTTTAATATTTCAAAGTTACATTTTAAAAGTAAAGTATTGATAATATATTTATATTGAAAAACAATAATTTTTTTCAATATCAAGATTAAAATTTACAAACTTTAATAAAGGAAAAAACGAAATTAGATCGGAGTGAATGATCCAATAATGCGATTTTCTTCTTTCCTCTTTTCCAAACACCTAAAATCTAATCATATCAAAACACTTCATTTGAGGATTTACTCGTATTTATTTGTAATGGTCAACTCGCTATCAAGTAATTTGTTAGAATATAAATAATTGTTGCTGGGCCACAACCACAAGCTTGAGCTTTTGGTTGAGTTGATTCTTTGACATGGTATCAGAGCCTCGTTGACTAAGAGGTCACGGGTTCAAAACTCAGCGTCACCCAATTTAAAAAAATTAAGGTTTCACCCAAGGTTCGAAAAAAACTACGCCTGCACGTGAGGGAGCGTGTTAGAATATATATAATTGTTCCTGGGGCACAACCACACGTTTGAGTTTTTGGTTGAGTTGGTTCCTTGATATAATTATATATAATTAAAAAAAGGGAATTTACTTAAATAGCAATGAAGTGAAAACGTACTGAGGAAATCGCCGAGGGAGAAGGTCTTGCCGGAAGTCCATTTCCGGTAGTCGACAGAAGAGTTGGCGTCGTTCCAGCCGGAGGAGTCGCCGACGGTGTAATTCTTGTAAGCATCCGCAGAAATAAGCAGCATCCCACCGGCAACTACGATCGCCGCCGCGAATGGAAACCAGTTACACAGTAGTACCATTATTGCACAGTATATATCTTAGCTTCTTCAATTCCCTGCGGGCCGACCTGCAAATGGAAATTCTGTGTGGACCGCCGACAGAGTTTAGAGAGAGAGAGAGAGAGAGGCGGTGGAGGTGGTGGTGTAATAACTAAGATAAGATTGATTGATCGACAGATCGTCTGTTGCTGTGATGAGAAGGCACCGAGGAATAAAGGCGATCAAAATTTAACTAATCCAAAGTTGTCGGTCAGTTGTGTACTCCATATTATTTACCTCCCCCTTTTTATGCTGTTACAAATTGGGCTATATACGTCTTTTTGGTTCCTATGACATTGAAAATCAATGTTATGAGATGATCTGAATGTGCTTCGGTATTTTGTTTGTAAAATTGACAGTTTCTATATCCTAACCATTCCGGTAGACTCCCACACTCCGCCCCGCCCCGAACACATTCCCCCACCTCCTTCAAGTGTACCCCTCAAGTTAATTTTGACTTTAGAGTCGAATTTTGATTCAAAAGTCAAAATTAGCTTAAGGGATGTAATTGTAAATGCGGAGTGTGGGGGTTTGCCGGGATGGTTAGGGGATAGAAACTGTCAATTTTATGAACGGAACAACGAAACTCTCCCAAGTCATCCCATGACACTGATTTCCAATGTCATGAAAACCGGCATCTATATATCTTGTGCTCACCGGACCTATAATAGAGGAGGCTAACAAGAAGTTCTAATGTGGATATTACAAAATAGAGGGATGCTAGGAGCATACTAAATATGTACTCCAAATGTACAATATGCATTTTGTTACCACATATTTTTATTTTCTTTTTTCTTTTTTTTATGTGCGTAAGTGTGTGGTGTTGGAGCACTTGAGGTACACTTTTGGTGTTGAGAGCTTTTGTTGATTGTGAGAGATTGGCTAATGTGGGTTCGGATGAGAATGCTAGTCTTGATACGTTGGCCATGGTTGTAATGCTTAGTTTGCTAGTTTTTTCCTAGTTCTATTTTATTTGTTCATAAACAGGCCAGGTTAATGAAGTGGCAAACAATGATCCAGCGCCCAGCGGTATGTGTGGGCTTTTACCCTCTTGATTTCATTGTATCATCTATATGGTGGTTTATTAATGAAGTTTGCTTTTTTTTTTTCTCTGAAAAAATTCAAAGTTGTGGGTTCATTTATATCATTATTTTAGCCTTTAAAAAAATCTATTTTATATAGTACAATATATTATTTTGTTACACGTAGTATATGTTTTCTCAACCTATTTAAACATAAATACTAATGTTAATGTACTCAGTGATATTCAAACTTGTGACCTCCTATTTAGAAAAGCCACGGTTATACCGTTTGACCACCAGGTATTCAGCATACATTCTATTACTTTTGTATTATATTTCGCGTAATGTTCCATAAAACAATCTAGAAGATAATAAATTTTTTGAACAAAAACAGAGTAATATATTCATATTTAAGGATTAAATACATTTTTAAAAGATGATAAATTAACTAATTTGTGAGTACAAACCCACTAATTAAAGGGTATGTTTGGTTGAAGGAAGGGCAGGGAGGGAGAGGTAAAATGATCCCTTTCTCTAGTTTGTTAGAAAAAATTGGAGGGGGGAAACTAAATAATTGACTTCAAACCCCTGTTCTTCCATCTATTCCTATGCTTCCTCCTTTTTATGTCTCCTCTCTCATGTGCCTAATCCTTGTATTCTCTCTTTCATTTCCGTCTCTCCCTCCTCTTTTTTCTGGGGCCAAATAGCTTCTGATCATTTTTTGGCTATTTTCCGGTGAAAAGGGAGTATTGGCGCCTAATTTCTAAATCATAGAGAATATTCGTGCTCATTTCTTATTATTTGTTTATTATTTGGCCCTTCCTCTTTTTTTTTTTACTTTTTTTATTTCTTTGATTCCTTTTCCTACAAAATTTTTTAAATTTCTTCTCAAATTTTTTAAATTTTCTTCACTTCTAGTTCCTTCCAATTCCTTCCAGTTTCTTAAAGTTCTTCTAGTACCTTTCAGTTTTTTCTAGTTTCTTCTGATTTTTTCGAGTTACTTCCAGTTTCTTCCATCTATTTTTATTTTTCTTCAAACTCTTTTATGATTCACACTCATTATTATTTTTTTCTTGAACTTTTTAATATGAACAATACCATTTTTTTGTATATTAATCTACATGAAAATAGGAAAATATCAATATTTTATGAGAAATAGTGCATAAATTAAGTGGCGTGTAACGTAACCAAAATAACTTTTAAATATTTAACATTTTGATGTTTAATTTATGCTAATTTTATATTCTAATTAATTTCTTTTTGCAAAAGTAGTACAATATTTTTGCATATGAAAAATAACAATATTTTTTACTCCTTATCTTAAAGGCATTCATTAAGATACCGTAATGACAACAACAACAACAAGAATAATAACAACAACAATAACGGCCCGGTTCCAACGACACCAGAGAACGGTGCCACTAGCGGTACCACTAGGTTTTTGATGCACCCCCGGTGCTCCATTCATAAAATTAACGGTTCCTACCCTCCTAACCCACCCTCTAAACCCCCACCCTGCACCCTCACTCCAAGCCCGCCGTGTGGGGTGGGAGGGTTACGGCAGGCTTGGGGTGGGGGTGCAGGGGTGGGGGTAGGGTAGGGTAAGGGGTTTAGGGGGTGGGTTAGAAGGATAGGAACCGTCAATTTTACGAACGGAGCACCGGAGTGGCACCGTTTTCCAATGTCACTGGAACCGGACCGTAATAATAATAATAATAATGATAATAATAATAATAATAATAATAATAATAATAATAATAATTTATAACAATAAGATTTAGAATAAGAAAAATATAAAAATGCACAAAAAAATTAACAAACACAGATCAAGTGATTGAGTACATTATAAGTCTCATCATTAATCATTCATGTCATTTTAAAAGCCTATTATTACAATTATCAAATGCTTATAATCTAATTCTAGGCCAAGGACAATTGAGTAACATTCAGAAATAGGATTCCTCAGCAAATTCAATTCTTATAAAGGCCCCTATTGAACTCCATCTAAACAAGCATATTGTAAAGTATATTAATTACAGAGTACAAAACCGTAATAAAAGTGCATTGGTTACGTGCCGAAAAGTTTAAGGCCCCAGTAGGATTTCATATCCTCACAATGCTTCACATAAGGAACCATTTTACTGGTGTCAACCCACCCACCCGTTTTGCAATCCAGACACGGCGGCGCCTGGAAGCAGGGCTCCATCGACCCTCCCCGCCGGCAAGCCTGATCATCCCCCTCCTTGTACTCCTCCGGCTTGTAAAGGATCCACGGCTTCACGTCCCCGAGACTCTGGGCAACGTACCCGAACGTCGACTTGGAGGTAGTCACCAACTTATCAGTGAGGCTGAGGAGATATATCTCCGCCCACGCTTTCATGTCATGAATGCCATTGTTCATACGTTGGCGCCCTTCGTGGCTCGGCTGGTACACTTCAACCGCTTCCCCCGTCACGCTCCCGTGCTTCTCGTACATGTCTCTCACTGCCTCATAGTAATCGGGAGCAAGAGACGTGATCAACACCGCTTTATGTCGTTGTGTGCCATTTCCTCCTGTGAACTTGTCACTCCTCGTCCTCGTCCTGTCGATTTGCGGTAACAGATTCTCCTGGAACACGCAACCCAGAACCTGCTTCAACACCTGCTTAAACGGGGCACGCCGAGAATTCAGCACCCTCACCTGGATGCCTATCTTCTCGGCTGCCCCGGCTAAGTAGGCATTGTAATACCTAGTGATAGCCCTCCAAACGGGGTTGGATGGGTGAAAGAGATACCTTCCCAACAAGTGGAAAACTGCTTCCTTGTCCGGGAACATGTCCTCTAGTTGTTGCTGAAAAGAGGGTATCAAGAAAAGGGATGGGGCGAAGTACAGGTCGGATCTAACCAGCAACCAACTCACTTTTCGGAGAGCGGTTTGTTCCTCATCGCAGAAGAAACGCTTATCGTCGTCTCCGTAGTCACTCACTAGATGCGCGTAAACATATGGCAGCGGCAGCGACAAATTACTCCCAAAAGCTTTCTTCTTAAGCATATTCCCGAGACTTTTCGGGGACTTGTGATCGAACCCCTTGAAATCATTGATGGGAAAGGAATGTTGAGATGGAATTATCCAAGAAGAGCCCGGGAATGGTTCACAGAAGAGATCGGGGAGGTGAGCTTCGCGATCAACGAGGAGAACTCTATCCGTAAGCAGAGCATAAAGGAAAGTAGAAGCCAAGGTGATCATCCGGTTTCCCAAGCCGGCACGCGGTAGCCACACAATGTACTTACAACCACCCTCGGTGTGGTTTTTGGACCGGAACAACTCCAGGCTTCGTTGGTAAGATTCCGAATCCGGCCCGCATTTCCTGTTGATACAATTTGATAATAATTGGTTTTATTGAATAAAGAAGCTTCCAAGAGTATACATAAGGATTTTGCATGTAGAATCCTAAACAAAGTAGGAGAAGAAATATAGTAATACAAAGAATAAGGAAACTAAACATAATAGGATTCTATTGCTATTACCTGTGCAGAGCTTCGTAGCTTCGCAGTTTGGAGATGAGATAAGAAGACGGAAATCGTGTGGTGGCTCTGTGGTATAATGCCGATGCGTACCGACTTCTACACGATTTTTCATCGAGCCCGTCCGAGAGAAGGCCCCCCAAAAGCTTGTCCTGCAGTTTATCTGCAGGCCATGTGAAATTTCCTTCCAAGTCTGCAATGAATTATTTAAGAAGGAAGAAGGAACCGTTACACATTGTCCCAAAGTAAAGAACACAAAAATGTGTTTGAAAAGTACTTAACGAAGAGAGGAATATATAGTACCCTCTGCAAAAGATCTGAAATCAAGACCCTTCCATGAGTCATTGTATGAATGTAATTTGGCTAATAATGCTAGAAATGGAACTAAGGCCATCAACATTAATGCCAATTTTCTAACTAGCGTCCATCTGCTCTGAGTTGAAATGGAGATGGGTATGCCATGAGGATCTACTAGTTCTATTTCTTCTTCCATATATACCTTCTTCATTTTCATTAACAAACAAATACATGCATAATTAATAGGGACTAAATAATCAAGATATCGACAGAAAGTTTTTGTGGAAGTTTTGAAGTCTAATAACTGCTTCAAAGAAAGCAAATTTATTTTTGCAAGTTGAGAGAAAGTTTGAAGTGTTATTTGTTGGAAAAATTATCCAAAATAATCCTACATTTACCTGGTCTTTTACAAATAATTACAAATAATTGAAAGATTAGTCTTACCTTAGAAAAATAAAAAAAAGAGATATAAGTAGTAAAGTAGAGTAATGAATGCAATAAAAAAAATAGCATGCATCAGAGGACTGAGAGAATAAATCTCATTTATAAATTAATACGTATGTAATTAATGCTTATTAAACATTGGGTTGAAAAAACATCTCAATAAAAAAAGTTAATTTTAGAAAATTTACTCTGAGACCTCGTTTGGTACATGAAATACAAGTCATGGAAATAAAATTGGAGACTCCAATTCTAGTTCTTCTGTTTGGTAGCATAAAAATATGTGGTATTGAAATTGAATTCTAATACCCAATCTTCCAATTCCACATTTTGAATTCTAATACCCAATCTTCCAATTCCACATTTTGAATTGAAATTGAATTCTAATACCCAATCTTCCAAATATAGTTTTTTTAATAAATTAAATTTAAAAATTATAATTTATATTGAGTAATAAAAATTTAAAATTTAAAACTTATATCACAAAATTTAAAATCTAAAATCTAAAATCTAAAATTCAAAATTTAAAACTTATATCACAAAATTTAAAATTTTCACTATAAAATTTAAAATTTTTAAGCTTTAAATTCTAATTTTAAAATTCAAAAAATAAAAATTTAAAACTTAAAATTTAAAAAATAAAAATAAAATTTAAAATTTAAAGTTTTAAATTTAAAATTTAAAATTTAAAATTAAAGATTTAAAACTAAAAATTCAAAAAATTAAAAGTTAAATTTTAAACAAAAAAATTTCAATTGAAAATCAAGAACTAAAACTTTAAATTAAAAATTTAAATAAAAAAAATAAAATTACAAATTTAAAATAAAAAATTTAAAATTTAAATATTCAAACTCAGCGATGGGTTTGGGAAAGAAGTGCGAGAGGAGAGAGGAAGATTAATTGAGGAGAGAAAGGAGTGTGAATTTACAATTTTATCCACATTTTTAACTAAAATGTTAACAAAGGACTATTCGTGAAAATGAATATAATAATTGGGGACTAAATTAGTAACAAAGGACTAAATTTTAATTTTTAAATTTTACTCCGTAAATGTTTAACATCCCGCTAACACAATTAGGGTTTGAAAAGAGCTAGGATTTTGCTTTGAATTACTCTAGTGCAAGAAATCTCAAAATACAATTTCAAATGTATTCTATTTACAAATTTGTGTTATCAAACAAAAGGATTTGGAATTATAATACAATTCTATATCAATTCCATAATTATATCAAACATAGAATTTTGAATTGAATTAGAAATCAATCTAATCCAATTCAGTTTCATATAATTTCAATTCTAATACAATTCAAATTTTGATACCAAAAGACCATTAATCTCATACGGAGTATGGACTATGGAGTAACTGAGTAAGATATATACTCGGACCGCGTAGGAGATGTTAAAATTTGTGAAGGATGTGGTACTAAAAGTTTGGCCGGCGCAAGTTTAGACTTTGGAGCTTCATATTGAAAATCGCATCATTACTTTCCATAAAAATAAAAAAAGACGAGCCCATTCGGTCAGACAATCATTGAGATGAGGTAAATTAAAATTTAATTGTAGATTAATGACAAAGAGTAAAACTTGCACAACGTCCACCGACCTCATCATGACTTTCATAGTTGCATTGGTGCTGCAGTCTCGGGTACCCTTTAATTTCGCGACCATACCGGCTGGAATGATAAAGCGTGTGGGTCTTCTTTAAAAAAAACTATTTTTTGTGTTTTAAGGACGTTGTAACCCTGTCCCAAAAATACCCTTGGTTTGATTCGGTACTGTACAAAATTTAAGAAAAATGAAAACATGTGGTTGAAGAGATGCAGAGGAGATAAAAACATTATGAACCACTCAATTAAAGTTCTCCAAAAAAAAGAAAATGATTTTTCTCGATCATCTCAAATAGGAAATAAAGAATCTTTTTTTAGGAAGGAGGGAGCTTTAAAAAATACCAATATATATGTATATAATGTTGGCGACAGAAGAAGGAAGCCGGATCAAAGAAGGAAACTGAATCCCTTTGGGATTCGGTTTAGTATCTTTCCTAGTTTGCTTAGTTCTTGTTATAGTACGAATAGAAATATGGTAGGAATAAAAGTTTACTTATATGCTTTACTATCTTTTTATATAAAGAGGGTTAGGCCTTTGTATTCACAAAAACTAATTCAATATACAGGGAATTTCCTCCCAAATAATTTTCTACATGGTATCACAGCAAGTTTTGAATTCTTGAGACCTCAAACACGCTTCTTCCCCTGCCGGTGGGCATACACAATTCAATGCCTACCGGCGGGATATTGTAATTTTTGATTTTCTTTAATTGTTCTCCCTCACTAAAGAATATCATGAACTCCTTTGACGAAAAACATTGCTGTCGAGGAATCCCGCCCAACCATCAATCTTGAAGAAGTTGTCCGAGAAGGGTTGTTCTATAGAGACAGACAACTCTTTCCTTAGTAGGTAATAAAAAAAGTCGGCGTTCAGGGTGTTCGAAAAGAATGATGTTCCCCCTGTTTGTTCGAATACGGTGAAGGTTCGAAAAGAATGGCGTTCCTTTACTCGACTGATTATTCAGCGGATTCGAAAAGCTTGGCGTCTCCGTTGAAGAAAAAAAACTGAAGTGTCTAGATGACACTTGGACAACGATGGCAGCGACTTCCTCAAGCTTTGTTGCTTTGTTCAATCTCTTGATGTCCAAGCTGGGCATGTTGAACTCCCATGATCCAGCTTGAGGGGGGGTGTTGGCGACAGAAGAAGGAAGCCGGATCAAAGAAGGAAACTGAATCCCTTTGGGATTCGGTTTAGTATCTTTCCTAGTTTGCTTAGTTCTTGTTATAGTACGAATAGAAATATGGTAGGAATAAAAGTTTACTTATATGCTTATGTTGGCGACAGAAGAAGGAAGCCGGATCAAAGAAGGAAACTGAATCCCTTTGGGATTCGGTTTAGTATCTTTCCTAGTTTGCTTAGTTCTTGTTATAGTACGAATAGAAATATGGTAGGAATAAAAGTTTACTTATATGCTTTACTATCTTCCTATATAAAGAGGGTTAGGCCTTTGTATTCACAAAAACCAATTCAATATACAGGGAATTTCCTCCCAAATAATTTTCTACATATAACACCCAATCAAAGCGCGGACCGAGAAGTGAGGCGTGAATCACAATATAAGTGATCTTAGTCTAGTCTTCGAGAGGGTGTCATGTGCTTGGTACGCATAAGAAACTATCACATTCGATAAAACTCCTATAGTGTCATTATCAAGAATGGATCATGATATTATATTGTACTTCCTCCGTCTCTTAAAGTTCTTCCCTTATTGACTTTTTGAAAATTTAAAGTACTCGTAACATTTGTGTTCACTTTTCAAAAATACCCTTAATGTGATGGACAAAAATGAGATGTAATAGATAGATCATTCGTAAAAATGTATGATGTGATAGGTAGGGTAGGAATGCACATCATACATTTTTAATAGAAAAAGAAAGAAGTTTGTGAAATTAAAAAACAACTTTTAGTTGGACAAACTTCTTGCAAATTAAATCATACATTTTTAATAGAAAAAATCCCACAAACTTCTTCCCTTTGATTCCCTTTGTGGGACAAGAAAAAAAGGAAGGAGAAAGAGTTTAATTGGATGATGAGAAATATGAGAGAAAGAAAAAGAAGGGTGAGAAAACACTATTTTTGAGGTGTTTCCTTGTGTTTGGTTGCCATAGAAAACTAGGAAAGAAATAGAAAAAGGGTGGGCAGGAGGCTAAACAAATTTCTCACCTCCTTTTAGGCGAGAAAATATTGTGGCTGGTGAGAGAACATATAAAATGACGAATTTACCCTTTAGCATCACCTTATCAGATCAATGATTCCTTCAATGTTGTCATATGGATAAAACTGTCTTTTTCATCTTATCATATTTTCTCTCTTTCTCATCATTTTTCTCATACAATCAGTAAATAATTTCTTTCCATTTTCTCTCATCACTAATTTCTTTTCTTATCCAAACAAAGGGTAAGAGAGGGAGGGAGTATCTATTATTAGATTATTTAGATTACTCCGTAAATAATTATCAACGCCTATGTTGCAGATATATTGCTTGTGTATCAATTAGCATATATATTATACAGATCTGCAAGTACACGCATTTAAAAAAAAACAATCTCTGTTTTTTTAAAAAAAATTTGAACTTCTATTGAATTGAAGAATTAATTAATATTGGAGAGATGTATAGCAAACAGTAATTTAATTACCCGAATAAATGAAAATAATCCTCCACTCGATGATGATGATGAAGCTAAGAGAGAAGTTTAATCTGCATATTGTACAACTGGGAAAGATTAATCTTTGAATAACAGTTCGTACTTAAATGCATACGGAGTAGCAGGGAAGGCAAGTGGGGAATGGGCCCACGACACTATACAACTTCCAATCTATTAAAAATATACTCCAAGTCAAATTGGGAAAAAAATTATGAGATGGAGTAGTATAAAATTCTTAACTAATCCTCCTCCGTATGATAAACAAAAATATGGAAATATCCAAATAAGAGCTCTAAAAGTCTTTTATGAACAAAATAAGAGTATAATGACAGTGTGGTGTATGAATACGCGTTGACAGTGCAACGGAAAATTGATGACAGTGTAATATGTCAGTGTAATTAGTCAACCGTTAGTGATCTCCGGTGTCACTCTGATGGCCGGAAACGATAGATGGTAGTATGGCGGTGATAGTGTGCAGTTATAATGTTACAATGTGGTGAGTGTGGTAATGTAGCAAAGGTGGTGTTAACTTCTGTTCTGGTCTTAAAAGTCTTATCACTCATATTTTAGTATTTTCATAGGTTTTTTACTCTTATCTAGGAAGTTCCGCCAAAATTCTCTGTTTAATTTTAATTCATGATATTTAAATTACTCAACTACTTCCTCTGTCCAGAAATATATTGCTCAGATATTATTGATACGTTCAAATTTTATTCATTTTGTTTAATTTTGAGCAAAGTTTGAAGAAAATGAAAATATATGGTAAAAAATGATGCACTGGAGAGAACTATTTTAAGTCGCTCAAAGTTTTCCAAAAAAAAAAAGAAAAATCTTTTTTTTTGAAATAGAGAGAGTATAAGTGTTCATGTCACCTCTTGTTTTGAAGAATTTTTTATGTAGTTTTTAAATATATAAATTTTATTTTAAATTAAATTGAAAATGAACTCAGTTAAGCCTCGTAAATCAAATAGAACAAATTCAATTTCGGTGAGAGGGAGCATAAAATTTAAAATATATATATAATTTAATCTAATAAATAATAATCCGTACATGAGATAAAAATAGTGAGATATTTTTTTTTTGGTACTGTACGAAATAATGAGATGAATTAAATAAATGCTCAGTTAGATGAACTAAATAAAAAGTGAGATGAATTAAATAATTTTTGTACAAACGTGAGCTTCAAATCTTCTCTCTGCCACATCAGTTTTAACTCCGATCCCTTTTAACTTACCTCACAGTTTTTAATGAAAATGGGTTTCGAGCCCTGGGGCTTCAAATTTTTATTTTTTAAAATTTTTAAATACACATTTTGCAAAAGTAAATTAATAAAAAATCATTAACTAATTAAATTTAAACGACAATAATTTATTAAATTAAAAAATTACATTGATAAAAAATATTTTAATAATAACAACATAAATAAAAAAGATTAAAAATTACATTACATTACAAAAAATTACTGATTATTTGAGCGACCAAAAATTTGTTCAGTCAAATCCGCCGTTAGTGTATTGTGAATCTTTCAGTCCTTTGTAATAAGGTATTTTTCCAATTCAGTCCTCAATAAGTTTTAATTACCTACGTAGTCCTCTATAATTGAGATTTATTTCCAAAGTGGTCATTCGTAAATAATTTTATTCAAATAAGGATTATTTGAGGGTATTTTGGTATTTTTTATCTACTAAATTTAGAATTAATGATTAAAATGATCATTTATAATAAAGTTCTTTCCCAAAATGATTTTTTCTAATTAAAGATGTGTATTTGGTTTGAAATTTAATTTTTTTTATGAGTTTTAAGTAATTCATTAATTATTTATAGTCAATGTATTTTTTCAATTTTACATTTAGTTGTACAGAAATAACTGTTTCGAAAATATACTTTAAATTTGGATGATCAAAATACCAAAATATCTTCCAATTAATCATCATTTGAGTAACATTATTTACGAAGGATTATCTTGAAAATAAATCTCAATTATAGAGGATCATGTAGGTAATTAAAACTTATAAAAAACTTAATTAGAAAACATTTTATTATAAAGAACCACTTTATTCCAAGACGTTAGACGTGCGAGGAATCCGGATTTTAATATTCTATAGAGTATTTTAGTAGTGTAAAAGGCAAATGCTAATAGGAATTGAAATCTTCTAAAAGTAAATTTAATAATAATGGAGAGAGAGTGTGTGGGAGAGCACTAGCTAGTCAAAATGCAACACCGGATTCCACGAGACTGGCAAGTGGGCATTGATGCATTATATGTCGTGTCGGTCTAAATTGGGGTGGAGGAACAATACAAATACCGAGAACTCGCTTTCCGTAGCAACCTATTTTGACATTTCAAAACGAATAGGATAACCGTTAGTTTCAGCGCTAAATTTAATTTTAATTACAAAATGATGATAAAGAATAGAACATGTATCTGATACTTTTAGTATTTTTATGCTTATCATAGTTGTCTCTCAACGTGAATCATGTGTTTAACGTATTTTTGTATTGCAAGGAATCAAACTCAAATATCACTTCTTGCAATGGCAGATCCAAAAATAAGTGAATGGGGGCAAGGTTATATAGTAAGGAGTATAACGGAGGTTCGATGGCGGTGTCCCCGTTTTTTGAAAGATATTTATAATGATAAAAAATGAATAAATTTATTAAAAGTATTCAAATATGTAAAATAAAATATTTTTTCAAATAAAAATATAGTATAACATAAAATATATCATAAACTAATATCACTATTACGTACACTTCTGATATTTTAGGTTTCAATTTTATTCAAGGTATTAAAAGTATTACGTACTCCGTATTTTTTTTTATTGGGGACATTTTTTTAAAAAAGGCACCAATATAAAAACCAAAAAAAATTGTAACTAAATTTCTTTTTGGATAAAGCTATTTGTACCCCCAAAGGTTTGTACCCCATTTGTACACCGCAAGTGTGCACTAAGATTTTGTGTTAGTGTAATGCTAATTTTTGTTAACGCATCAATACTTTGTGTAAGTATAAATTTTTGTTAACGCACCAACACTTTCTGTCAGTATGAACCATTAAATTGTTGGTGTATAACTTTGATGTAAGTTTGTGATACAAATTTTGGTGTAAGTGTAGCATGGTTCTTTATTTTTTTACCAGGATAACTGTCCTCATATTCTCCTTGCTAGATCCGCCCATGACTCCGTGTGTAGTCCTTATCTTGTCAACTAGGTAACCCATTTTTACATTTCAAATACTCCCTCCGTCCACAAATAAACGTTACGTTCACTATTCACATGGTCAAACTTTATTCACTTTTTTTTGCTTATTTTTGTCACCCATTTGATAAAATAATATAGTCATGTCACCTCTAATTTTGTAGATCTTTTGATATAGTTTTTTAATATGTAATTTTTATTTTTTAATTCTACATCATTTTTCATATAAAATGGTTTGAAAATAACCCCAGTCAAACATCGTAACGCGCAATGTAAAGTTTATTTGTGAACCCATGGAGTATATAAAGAAAAACGTGCAAGGTGGCGATTGAAATGCTTTATTTTTTTCTTTTAGAAAAAAGAGTAAATTCTGAATTAGCAAAATGTTACTTAATACTCCCTCCGTCATAAAACTTCTTCCCGTTGCGCAAAACGAAGAAAAATCCCAAATTTTTTCAATCTATTTTATTTAAATATTGGTATAGAAATAAAAAATAAAGCATACATATTTAAAAACTACATCAAAAGTTCAACAAAACAAGTGGTGACAAGAATATTTTATTTTATCATATAGGCCATGAAAAAACACAAATAAATATAAATTCCCGTGAAGTTGGAATAGTGCTATGGGAAGAAAGTTTTTGGACGGAGGGAGTAATTATGTAATTTCTCAAAGGGCATTGCTACCGTACCTTTGAAAAGGAAGGGGCATGGATGTCCTTCCACTCAATTCTTGTCAAGTGGACTCAAAATTAAAGTCTTCAATAAATTATTCCACCTCACTTAATCTTTTTGAAATTCTAAAACAGCCCTGACTTTTTTTGTTGTGTTACATACTTGGACGACACTTGACGGAACCCTGTTACTCATCACTCCGTCTCTTTTTTTTACCTTGCCCCTTTCTTCATCGCAATCCAGAGAAAACTTACGCTGCACGGCCTCTTCATCATTGCAATCACAGTGCCGCCCCGAAAGAGGATAAGCCGCCGCCGATGCTGCAGTTGTGACGCCGTCGCCGAGACATCCTTGTTCCAAACAGGAATTTCAGAAGAATTCAAGATAATATATTTTAGGGTTTAAAATTGATTTTGACAAAAGCGAATATCAAACATGTTGAGCACATGAATGGATTACCTGGTCGGAAATTGAAGAAGATGACTCGGCGACGGTGGCGGCGGCGGCGCTGTGATTGCAATGAAGAAGGGGCCGGGCAGAGTCAATTTTTTCCGATTGCAAATTGGTGTTGCGTAAAAAAAAAGAGACGAAGTGGAGTAACAGGCTCCGTCAATGCCGTGCAAGTATGTGAACAGACCAAAAGCAGGGCAATTTTACAATTTTGAAAAGTTGAAATGAGGTGGGCATCACTTTGATTTTCAATCCACTTGGCAAGAATTGAGTGGAGGGGCATCCATGCCCCTTCCTTTTTAAAGGTACCGAAGCAATACGCCTTCAAAATTACTCCATCCGTTCCTAAATATTTGTCATACTTGTATTCCCGAGATAAAATATCAAGCTCTCTCAATTCATTTTTTTACATATTGGTATAGAAATAAAAAATAAAATTTACATATCAAAAAACTACATGAAATGTTCTTCGAAATAAGAGATGTCAAGAATATTTTATTTTATCAAATAGCCGATATGGTACTCGTTAATTGAAAATAACGCTGAGTTCAGTCTTCCCGACTAACGACCATTAAAATAGCATTAAAACGATGTTAAATCTTATGCTACATTTCCAAAATACTATTCTCTAACTCGGTGTTTTCTCAAATTGGTCAATTTTCGAAATAAAAATATATTAATTATGAAAAAATACTTTAAATTTTATAGGATGACAATATAATACTAAAAACTATAAATATAATTTTATAAATTTGAAAGTAAACATTTTAGATTATTTACAATTAGTTAGAAGAATGTCATGTAAATAGGGTGCATTAAAGCTTATTTTCAAAATGTTTCACCCACACCGCCTCTGATCATTTTCCGATCATTTTTTGGTGAATAGGGTGCATTAAAGCTTATTTTCTAAACCATAGATACTCGTGCTCATTTCTTATTTTTTGTTTATTATTTGGTTTTTTCTTTTTTTAACTCTTTTTTATCTATTTGCTTCCTTTTCGTAGAAAATATTTTTAAATCTCTTTTAAAATTTTTATAATACTTCAAAAATTCAAAATTATTGGTGTTTGAAATAAAAATAAATAACATATACTAGATCTATCTCAAATTAAACATTTTCACTTTTAGTTTTCTAGAATATTTTTTTGGTAAGTTCAAAAATAAAATTCAGAATAAAAAATAAAAATATGGAAAAACGAATTGAAAAAAAAATGAAACATGCAAAAAAAATCTTATACAAAAAGAAATTTTCAAAACACCTAAAAAGTGTTTAGAATGTGGATGTCCAAAAAGAAAATTCATTTTTATTTTCCATTTTATTTTATTTCTTATTTTTTTCCTCATTGTTTGAAGTTCTCAAAAAACATTTTTACTTTTGTATTTCGGAAAATAAAAAACAAAAAATATTAATTTGAGATGTATCGATGCAATATACTTGTATGTTAATTTTTTTTCAAACAAAAACAATTTTTAAATTTTAAGAACATTATAAAAAAACATTTAAAAAGAAATTTAGAAAAACATGATAAATAAAAGAAACAATAAAGGAAAAATGGTGAAATACAAAAAATAAACAAAAAATAAAAAATGAGTATTAGGGCCCCTATGGTTTGGAAAATATGCACCAACGCCCCCTTCATCACCAGAAAAATGACATGACAGGAAAATGATCAGAGGGGTTATGAGTGCTGCTTTTTGAAACTTTGGAGACTTTAAGATTAAGTTTTGAAAACATGGGAAGTATTGGTGCATATTTTCCAAACCACGAGAGTGTTGGAATGCATGAGTTCAACCATTTCTGTGTTGTTTAGTGTTGACTCACAGGTTTTGATAATTGACAAACACAATTTATTCAAGTCAAGATTAAAGTGCTACAACGACAATCACGAAGACTTGAAGTGTCATTTCTTGAAGTATTCAAGAAGGTGCACAGGATTTTGTTGAAGTCCGAGACGCGTTCGGAGCGCCTAACGGAGGACTCGGATGAGTAGAAGATTTCCGAAGACTTTTTATTTATTTGAGTCTTAGGAATTATTGTAAGGATGACAAAAATATCTTCTCTCCAAAATTATTTTATGAGAGTCAAAATAAAAATTATACTTATTTTTGGAGTCAGTTGAAAAATCTTTTTAACTCTTCAAAATAGTTTTATCGAGTCAGTTACAAAAAGTGTGTCAAACATTTATCAAATATTTATTTTGATATATTTTTGGTAAGCAAAAATATTTTATTCAAATATTTTTCGTGTACATCGTTTGACACACAAAATAATTTTTGGACTCACTTTTACTCCCTTATTCAAATTCATTGAATAAGAGGAGGAGCGTTCTCTGATTCCCGTTGTCTCAAACAACGAGTGTTACGCCAATTTGCTCTCCATCGCAACTGGCTTGGGCCCTTTGTGTTTTGCCCATTATTTCTTTTNATATTTTTGGTAAGCAAAAATATTTTATTCAAATATTTTTCGTGTACATCGTTTGACACACAAAATAATTTTTGGACTCACTTTTACTCCCTTATTCAAATTCATTGAATAAGAGGAGGAGCGTTCTCTGATTCCCGTTGTCTCAAACAACGAGTGTTACGCCAATTTGCTCTCCATCGCAACTGGCTTGGGCCCTTTGTGTTTTGCCCATTATTTCTTTTAGTAATCGATTATATTTCTCTGTTTAATCGATTAACTGTCGTTCGCATTCCATTAATCGATTATTCCTCTTGTTTTAATCGATTAGTCCTCTCAGAGCCTTCTAATCGATGAATCCCTTTGCATTAATCGATTATTTACGCGTTGAAGGAACTCTGCACATACTGCATTAATCGATTATTGACACTGCATTAATCGATTATTATGCTGCATTTTTCACCACAGCTTCTTTTCTTGGACCAACGGATATATTCCTTCAACCCCTTTATAAACCTCACTCCTTGGTCATTTTTACCATGTACAAGCACTCCTAAACTCCCCCATTCTTGAGGTGTTAATCCTCCATCAATCATTCCTCAAATTTATATTATTTTGAGAGAAAATTATATTTTAAAGAGAGTGTTCTTGTCATCCATTAGAGCTTTAATTTTTTCTCTTATCTACTCTTTTGAGAGCTATTGTTGAGAGGCTGAAGAAGATTGTTCTTCTTGTTGTTCAAGGCTTATGTGATTTAAGTCTTGGTTGTGAAGTGAACATCTCCCGTATAGATGCTCGCCAACACAGCTCCGAACACCCTAAGTTCAAGAGCTCAACATTTGCCAAACAATTCGTGGGCATTCGAATTGCTTTCATCACCATCGAAGCTCTCTCAGAGAGCCCCTTGACCTGTAGCCACGAGGTGGTGAACCAGTATACATCGGTGTGTTCTTTCCCTTCTCTATTTTATTTCTGCTGCACTTACGTTTATATTATTAATCTTGCGAAAATCGGTAAACATTCTCAACAACTCTATTCACCCCCCCTCTAGAGTTGCACGCCTTGTCTAACAGAGAGGTATTTGTGCTATTTGGCCTAAAATAATGTTTAATAAACGTTAAAAAATCATCATAAATAGGAGTAAAACATGGAGAAATGGCCCCTATTTTGGTACTTTATGTTTTAATCCTAATTAGGATTATTTTTTAACGTTTATTAAATGTTTTATTTACATGATATTCTTCTAAATAATTGTAAATAATCTAAAACCTTTACTTCCAAATCTATAAAATTATATTTATACCCCGTAGGTTTTAGTATTATATTGTCATCCTATAAAATTTAAAATATTTCTCCATAACTATTGTATTTTTATTTAGACCAATATTAATTTTTTCCATAAATATTTGGCCGGTTGAATATTTTGAACGTCTTCTTTGACCAGTTCTGGGTGGAATACACCCATCAAAATCCAAGGAAAAAGTACAAAAACACCATGTCGTAAAAAATGGATTCTTCTGTATCAAATTAACTAAACAATTTATTTCTTTCCTAAAAAAATGGAAACCTAAAAATATGACACTGGCATCATAGGAATATAATCCAAGGTTGAAATATCTTAGAACAACAATATTCCACATTGAACATTGACAGAGTGCATTATATTGACTACTAGAATGCATTATATTAAATTGTTGTGATGAGAGAATGCATTATAGGAGAATGATTACCGCCGCTCCTATTTTCAAAGCTCTAGCCATTGTTGTTGGTGCTTGAGCCCAGGTCTTGAGCCCTTCTCATAGTGGCCTGAGGCACCTCCGCACTAGAGGATCGTTGCCGCCGGGCGGCTCAGCCCCTTCGCGGTCGGCTTCAATTTCCGATCAAAAAATCCCCTCTAATTTAGAACTTGGCCATTAATTGAAATATATATATTCAGTTTAAAGTTGAGCTAAAAAGCGCATAAAGTTTTACCCTAAAATTTGGCGCTAGAGTCGACATCAGGATCATCCTCCTCCTTGCCAATGTTCTCCAAACCTTCATTATTCATCATCTTCCTCGTGCCCCCGTGCTGCTGTTCTCCAAATAGTCACTATTCATCGTCCTCCTTGCAACTGCTGCTCTGCATCACAAGATTTATGATAAATATTGATGAAAATTTAAGAAAAAGAGAAAATTGAAGAATTGAGAATTGATGAGAGAAGAAATGTTAGTGCCCTGATTATACGAAACTAATAGAGACAAATGAGTGAGAGAAAATCTTGACCAAGCAAAAAGACCATAATACCCATCCGAATTAAAATTATAGAAATGGCCAAAGTTGCTTATCCAATGGCTGATATTCATTCTTATTTCTTTCATAATATCTCATTCTCACTATAACATATATATATATATATATATATATATATAGATAGACACACACACACACACATACATACATATATACATACACACACACACACGCAAATATACATACATACATACATACATATATATATATATACACACACACACACACATATATGTTGTTAAATAGTATTGGAAGTTGCCAAAGTTCTTGGCATCTTCCAAGCAAAAAAGAAAAATTGTCGTGGTGGTGACGAGAATGCTCCTGCTAGTGCCACGCACACCGATGGTCCATTGTCTTTTCGCGAGTGTCAAGCGCACCTTGTAAGTATTATTAGTAACATAAATTACATTTAAATTTTTTAAGTGACGTGTTTCCACTTACGTATATATTTTATTTTTTAGGGTAAAAGTGGACATGCTTCAGACTTGTACTCTTCGTACACATACTCATACGAAGAAGCATGATGAGAAGTACTACGTCAATAAGAAGGCAGAAGAAGTTTCAGTAAGTGACAAAGAGTATATATATTGTATATAAACTATTAGTGTTTGTTTAATTCAATTGAATGTAAATTCATACTGCTCTACTTATTTCACTTTTTATGTTAAAATGTATATACATGTATGTTTGGTGTATTGCAGCAAAACTACGTAGCCATGCGGGAGGCAGTTTGTGAACAATGCTTAAATGTGACACGAGACGAGATGTTTATATTTATAGTCGGAGGACATGATGCCAAGAATCGTGTTCATGGTGTTGGAGATCTCGCACGGAGCCAACCACAAATGTATACAAGTGAGGCAAAACGTGCCAGCACAAGCTCTATGTGGGACCCTCGAGATGATGAGATCAAGAAGTTGAGAGAAGAGCTAGACGACATTAGAGCTTTCTAAGCGCGTGAACTATTGTCGATTAGAGAAAAGATGACCCGACTATATGGAGGAGTTTTCCCACATGGAAATGGAGATGGCGGTGGAAATGGAGGAGGGTCGGGGTTGCAGGGGCTTGTTGAATATTTAATCAGATTTAAACTTAAGTTTGATGGTTATGTACGTGGAGTTAAATTTGATGGTAGTTGAAAATATTATAAATATTTAGGTAAAGTTCTCTTGAATTTTTATAAATATTATATTAAACTTAAGTTTTATGGTGAATTTGAATTTTTATAAATATTTTTTGAATTTTAATTATAGCTTGGTGATTTAAATATTCTTGGTTGTTTAGTACTCTTCATTTGTAGTATTTGTTGGATGTTTGATGTTGTGAAGCTGAGATAGAGCAGGTTGTTGTGGTTGTTGAAAAAATACCAGGTTGTCGTATAATTTCTGTCAAATCAGCGACGGATTTGGCGACGGAATAACTTTCTTTTTTGAACAAAAGCACAATTTATTGAACCATAAGCCTCCATCACAAGTACATCACAGAATAACTCTAACAAAACAGACCCATACATGGGTCACCAGAATAACTATATAAACTACATTAGGATAATCTCTCTTAGTTTATAGTTTATTAAGTGTTTCAATTGATCTTTAATCCAGTGGCAACACTCAATTGGAGGGGTATCTTCCTGTAATTTGATCAATCGATTCCTCACTCTCCACACAGCATAACAAGTTGCTGCAAAAGCTGCAATTACAATCTGCCTACTTCTTCTTCCTTTGATCTTTATCATCTCCTCTAACATTGCTTCATCATTATCTGCTCTCCATTGATACCTTATCCAGCTTCCTATCTCTTCTTGGACCTCTTTTGTATATTTGCACTCATAAAAGATATGTTGCTTGTCTTCATTTTGCTGTAGACACAACGGGCAGGTTAGATCAATAGGCATAAACCTGCTGAGTCTTGTTTTAGTGGGTATTCTGTTTCTCCATCCCAACCAAAGAAAGAACTGATGTTTCGGGGTAGTTAACCTGTTCCAGATCATTTGGTATCCTTGCATTTGGTTGCCCTTCTCCATAAGCCATTCATAGCCTTTGTGAATCTGATACTCCTTACTGGTATCCATTCCTGCAAATAGTGGTCTACAGCTCAGGATTTTCTTCATGTAGAAACAAAAACCTGCCTTGGGGGGAATATTCCAGATTGTATCCTTCTTTAGATACTTATTATGAATCCACTTGACCCATAATACATCCTTGTTGTTAGCAATGTCCCATAACAACTTGTAATTACAAGCATAGTTCCACTTGCATAGATTCTTGAACCCCAAGCCTCCATTCTTCTTAGATTTACAAACATCGTCCCAACTAACCAAGGGGACCTTATAGTATTCTGCCTTTGATCCCCACAAGAAGTTCCTGCATATACTTTGGATATTATGCATAACCTTAGCAGGGATGACAAAGAGTCTGCACCAGAAAGAGATTATTCCAAAAAGAACTGAGTTAATGAGTCTGCACCGGGCTGCATATGAGAGGTTTTTGGATGTCCATGTAGTGATTCTTGTTGTAAGTTGCGACGGAATAACCTTTCCGTCTCTATTTGGTCAGATTTTCAAATTAGTCGTAATTTTCGTCGTTAAATCCTGACGACGGGATGTTTCTATCATTAAACCCATTGCCAAGATTCGTCGCTCTTTCCGTTGTTGTCTAGCAACAGATTGCAAAAACATCGTCATACTTAATACTAACGAAAAAATAACGATGAATACTTTAACGTTGTTATTTCCGTCGTTAACTCCCATTACCTGCGGAATTTAGCCTTTGGCGACGGAATATTTTCGTTGCTATTTCAACAGTTTTTTGTAGTGAAGTAATTGTGCCAAATATTTTCCTAGTGTTGTGGGATAAGAGCCCATTAAGAATAAATATTTTTATTGCTATAATGTGAGCATCTGCATCTCTTGACGCTACATTATTGTCATTTTTTTTATGGCCGTCCTCTTTCATGATGTTTCGACCATTGTCTACATCTAGATCTCTTCTTTATCCATCATTTTTGTTTCTCACTCCTACTCATGAACTCTCGTCCTCAATATTAATGTGCCCAACTATCCTTTTTGGTCACTTTCTATACAGCATGTACACTCAATCTTCTACTACAATGCATTGAGGTCGTGGATGCAATAGAGACTATATACTTCTTACCTCTCACAATGATTGTTGGTTTCAGTGCTACTCAGCTCACCCTTGCAATCATATCAACATAAAAATAACCTTTAAAAAGGCCTCCTTTTAAATCCATGTCATAAAACATATACTTTAGAAATACGATAATCATGCGTTATAATATCCCGGAGTACTTGAAGTGAGCTACAAGAAGACAAGCAAACCTAACACCCCTCTCTGCCCTGAACATTTGTTAGCCCCTTCATTATATAGACCATGTGGGGCAAAGTCATAATAAAAAAATTGAACTCAAATGATGCATTCCAATCACCATATAAAGCACTATATCATATGTGAATCTAGAAACACTATTGACTTGCTACATACAACCCTCACATCAATGGAATGCATACATATGTAACCATAATTCAAACATTACGAATAATATGGAAAACTATTAAAATCATAGATGTTCACTCCAATTTGCATGGATGAATCCACATAATGCTATTTTAAGCCACTCGGCCCAAAAATTCATGTACTTCAAAACATGAAATTGAAATAAAAAAGGCAAATCAAAATTATTCCTTCACTGGTCTTCATCTACTCTAAAGTACGTATGGGCTACCGGTGTTGTCCCGCCGTCAATTGTGCGACATGTTTTCCTAAGCGATGCTATAGGTTTTACTACTCTACACGTTTTATACACCCCAATAATAACAAAGTACACACCACCTCAATGCACAAAACCATCAAACTTATGGTCCTTCCCTCACAAAAAAATCATTAAAACATTTCTTACATCATTATAGAGTTACAACCTCAAACAAAGTCGATCTCTTTAAAGAAACTAGAAATAGCATCAACATTGAGCAAACAAAGAAGAGCTATCACAAGGTTATGTTACAAAATATCTAATGCATATTCTATATAATGTACTGAATATTTCATATACTGCATACTATGAGTATTTACATAGCAGTGCAATAAATCATCCTTGTTATGCCCCTCAAAAAAAAAAAGCAACACAAATATAAGGTGTGATGATGTGTTTTTTGCAGCATAGTATTTTTAAGTATGCATACAACATGATATTTATCTTCGAGTCCTTAATAACCACAAAAAATGTACTTATACACGCACTATAAGAATTTGTCTGGTCTGCAACGGAAATCTGCTACGAACCCTTTTCCGTAGCAGATCTGCAACGAATCAGCGACGGAAGTATAATCCATGAAAAAAAGCATAATCTACGACGAACTTTATTTCAAATCTGCCACAACTTTTCCGCGACGGATAAATTTTGTTGCAGATCCGTCGCAGAATGGAAATCTGCCATGAAATTTCAAATTCTACCACGAAATTTGTCCGTTGCAGATTGATAGTTTTCTTGTAGTGACGATCAAGGCGATACTGAGAAAAAAATTAGTATTTGCATTTGCATGATGCACTGTAGTATACATATAATATGCAATACTGTGCAAAAATAAAAATAAATATACAATGATATAAGAAATTTGGATTTTACTTATATTAGAAGGCTAGAAGAAGATTCTACAAAACGAAATCAGAAGGCTAAAAGCAAATATACTCCATATAATAAAATCATCCAAAATTAAAATGCTATAAGAAGATTTCACTCAAAAACTATTTGAGACATTTTATCAAACATGTAGTGTGCAATTATTTGGTGGTATGGCATGAAAGAGTTTAATTTAAAAAATCTAAACAGATGCATACAAAAAAAAATTTAAAAATCATGTATGAAACCGATGGAGCCAAAATTTCACCATTTTTTGGCTTTGGGGTGTGCTGGAATAAATCAAAATGGATCTCTAAACTGTCTGCGCTTCTTTAATTAATGAAGTAACAGTTATTCAAGCAATGCAACTTTCGACGTTGAGCCGGGAGTCTCTTTGGAAACAGCCTCTCTACTTTCGAGTAGGGGCAAGGTTTGCGTACACACACCCTCCCCAGACCCTACTCTTGTGGGATTTAGCTGGGTCTGTTGTTGTATGAAACCATAAATGAATATGCGAGAATGAAGATGGAGAGAATAAGAAATTAGGTCTAACATTTTTATCCCCTTCGTTGATCATTAAAGACAATCCATGTATGTTCACAAATTAGAAACTCCATAGATAGAATGAAATTAAAATCTTGAATAAAGGAAATGGAATCAGACCGTGTGCGGAGAATTAGGAATAGATGTGATGATTTTCCGGAGATAATCGCATGGAGTAACATAAATGAGGGATAAATACTTATATGCCCCTATTTAGTGTGATGAGATGCCTATCTTGCTTGTTTCATCCAATGCGTGAGATTCATTCTTATTTTCTTTCATAAGATCTCATTTTTACACGTCGTGATGTTTTTACACTTGTGGTAGTATATTTCAGGCACTATAAAAAATAATCAAATTATTTACAAAACTACCGCCACAATTTTTTTATTCATTTTTTCAATTTTTAATAGCCCTTTGATCTTAAATCTAATGAGTTGTATGCATTCTCATTTCTAGGTTGTGCATCATTCTCATTCTCATACTGTTCCACTAAAGTCTAAGGGCTATTACAAACTAAAAATTTGAAAAAACTGAAAAAATCACCGCGGCATTATTATAAATAAATCAAATTTTTCTACCAGTGCCAGAAATGCACTACTACTAGTGTAAAGTGCCTACAAGAAATGAGAATGATGCATTTTTGGAGCGTCGTGATGCTTTTACACTTCTAGTAATGCATTTCGAGCACTATCAGAAATAATCAAATTATTTATAAAACTACCACCACTGTTTTTTTCATTTTTTCAATTTGTTTAATAATCCTTTGATCTTAAATCCAATGGATCGTATGGATTCTCATTTCTTGGATGTGCATCATTCTCATTCTCATATTGTTCCACTGAAGTCTAAAATTGCTAACTAAAAATTTGAAAAATTGAAAAAAGAGCACCACGGCATTATTATAAATAAATCAAATTTTTCTACGAGTGCCAGAAATGCACTACTACTAGTGTAAAATTCACCAGTGGACCGAAAACCGAAAATGCATCATTCTCATTTTTGAAAGAAAGAGTAACAATCTAAGGAGAACACACAAGAAGAAATTGAAAGAAAAACGCCTTAGGTAGTTAAAATTGAGATCATAATTTCTCAGTCATCGACATAAAAACATGGCAATTGCACATTAGGAGTGAGCTTGTTAAATTCTAGAGTACTCCGTACATGAGAAAATTATCAAATGTAAGAACCATATCACAATAGGGCCTTGTGGGATTTGAGGCTGCTAGTGTTGTACGTAAGTTTCAGAATTCAAGCATCAAGATGCTGCTATTATTTATTCTTCATAACTTACTACACATTCTATATTGTTAAAATTGTACGCCACGAAATGTCCGAAGTTGAATCATGAAAGCCTTAACCAGCAAGAGGATTAGCATGGATTGTCACTCGACTGATTCTGATCTCCGCAACAGGTCGGTCCCCAGCTCCTACTACAGTCTGCACATAATCAGCAATGGGAAAGATTCAACTTCACAACAACAACAACAAATTGTTCATGAGTCTACATGTTTTAACATTAAAAGAAAATGCAAAGCTTCATATGAAATATTTTAAGATTCACATTTCCTCAAACACTTCGCTTATGGAGTTTGGCTTATTGAGACAGCCAAATACTTCATTCTTTCCAAAAAGTGAATCTTAAAAAACCAAACACATGCCAAGAGTGTGTTCTGTTTAGCATTATTGAAGTGTGCTAACACAAGGGATTATTATGAGAAAATGCAGAGTACCTTTTCCATCACATCGAGGACTTCAAAGCCATGGATCACTTTGCCAAAGATGGTGTACAATCCATTCAGATGAGGCTGTTTTGCGTAGGTAATAAAGAACTGACTCCCATTAGAATTTGGCCCGCTATTAGCCATCGCCAAAATTCCTCTAGCATTGTGCTGATGGGAGTAAAAATGAAGGGCAACATCAATATAAACTAATAAACTAGAGGCAACATTCAAAAGCAAGATAATCTAATAAACAATAATAAACTAGATCAACTTGAAACCCACCTCATGCTTTTGCATGACAAGAATTTGATCATTTAAGAATAATTCAATAAAGGGAGGAAATGAAGAGCTTAGATATATACCTTGAGAGACTCTCTTATCTCGTCGTTGAACTTTTTGCCCCATATGCTCACTCCTCCTTTGCCTGTGCCAGTAGGATCTCCACCTTGAATCATAAAACCTTTGATGTTCCGGTGAAATATGGTCCCGTCGTAATACCCACTGGCACATAGAGCCAGAAAATTCTGCAGTCAAAAGATGAAATGACTAATTGGCTCGTTAAGTAAGAAGTACACAACAATCAGCAACCATAAATTTTGTAGAGTTCTTTATTCCTCATTACGACAAACCTCTCAGACTTCAACAAAAGAATACAGAGCGGACGGGAGAAAAATGGGTAATCAACAAGGCACGAAAAGTGCACACTTCAAACACAACGAAAGTGATAGCTATAGCCAATGCCTAATAGTTGGATCAGTTTTCAGTTTCCAAAATCCGAATAGACCGACTTCAAAGTGCATACAATTATACAAAAATACTAAATTACTCTCTCCACCTTAATTTAGTTTCCACTTTCCAAAAGACATCATATTTAAGGAGTGAGTACAAAAAGATCAAAAGCTCCTTGAAATTAACATGTCTTTCATTGATGACAACAATCCTAATATTATCTTTCGGGTTGTTCATGATGATTTCGTAATTCCCAATTATTGGTATCAGACAAAAGTGGAATGCCCTAAATGGAGCACAACTAAATACAGAAGATGTGTGCACAACATTAGGCTGCCCCAATACAAAACAACTGCTTTGAGTCGGCTAGACCAAATTTTCTTCTAGGATAGGCTACAAAAGGAGAGAAAATGCTCACTAGCTTATTGAATTGCTTCCGACCTAGTTATTTCCAAACTATTGCTTTCATATCGAAGAAGCAACGGCAACCAATTCGATTAATTACTTCATCACCATTGCTCTTCACAATGTCAAACCATTTACTCCGCACAATATGTCAAACCCTATTTACTTTTAAAATCTACACAGCTTTTTAAATAAATTGAATTGAAAAAACCTAGTCCAGAACTTTTGGGGGGCAAAAGGGAGGATTAGGTTTCATCATAAGCATGGATCACAGCAACAAGAAGGCAATAAAAACATGCTGGGACAGTAGCTTATATTTACGAACTAAGATTTGAACTAAATACTCGTTGTTAGAAATTACTGACCTCTGCAGTCCTGGGAACCTCATCGCAGAAGATCTCGCACTTGATATCGCCAAGATTCGTGTGTAAAGTGACCGACTGCAAAAGCCCAGAAAAGTCGATGAAGAAATTGTTTTCCCGTAAGAGAGATTGAGGAGAGAGATTTTCGACGAAATAGAAAAAGAAGTTCAGTACCATTTTGCATCCGTGTTGGCTCGAAAAGCTACCACTAGCTAAGCCTTCTTCTTCTTCTTCTTTTCTTTTGGCTGTAGACAGATTGTGTTTCTAACTTCTAAATTGTCTTTGCCTCTTTGGTTAGAAGACTAGCCCACGGAGGAGGGCAAATTATATGCTATACATCATTTTGGTATTTTTGTAAATTTTACAAATTTTTTATTCAATGCACAGAACATATATGAGAACTATTATATATGACAATGAGTACCAGCAGATTTGAGAAAGAGTACCAGCACTTATGAGAATTATCATATTCTTATTCAATACAAACATGAATAAACCTGAGTTTTAAATTTTCCATGCTCAGAGAGTATAAATGAGTAAGAACGAATCGAATAAAGGAAGATCCAACGAAAAGGGTATGGATGAAGAAGTTGATGATGGTACTGGACTTTTTAATTGTGAAAAAATTGAACAATACTTTATTTCAGAATGAACATTTCCTTATTTGAGAATTAGTATTGTTTTTTAAGAATGAACACTACGCTATTTATTATAATTATATTAGACAAATGTGTAAAAATGAGTACTTCTTTATTTTAAAATGAGTACTACCTTTGCCAGAATGAGTACTACGTATTTCGAAATGAATATTAATATTTGTACGAGAATGAGTACTACTTTATTTCAGAATGAGTACTACCGGGATGTATCTATTTCTAGGTACATCCGGATGTACCATATACCAACTCATGGAGGAGGGCTTTGAAGTTTTGTAGTCTCATTTGGAGTGGATGATCGAAAAGCAATTTGAAGTACAGCTCAAGAAAAAAAATTGTGCTGAATTTTGAAAAAGAAATTTGTTATGCACTCTTAGAAAAGTGAAATAAAAATGATCTCACCTTTTTGTGGTTTGCAAGAAAAATCCCCCTATGTATAATATATAACCAAAATTCAAAAAATATCCAAAGTTGTGTAGAGTAACTTTCTTCGATTTAACAATTTTTAATCAAAAATTAGGCTTCATTAACAAAAAAAATGTACATTTTAATTTCAATAGAGAACAATGACGTAACTTAAAAAATTAAGTTAAAAGGTAGATTATTATAAGCAATTTCATAGAATGCAAGTTTTCCCCAACTTCACAAAAGGTGGATTCTTTTCGAAAAAATAAAAGTAAAGACTTTCCAATTCATTAATCCGTCAACTTTTTCTGTCACATGGCCAACGTACGTAGGGAAAAAGATTGAAGTAAGAGTAAAATATATACGAACTCTCCAAAATAAGAGTTGAAACTTAAAATCTCCTAAATATGAGTTAACTTAATTAATCTGATTAACCTTCTCATGCACTCCCTGTCTCCCTCCCCTGCTGATCTCTTTCTCAGTTTTTAGCATTATTTTCACGAGAATAATGTCAAAGAGAAAAAAACTGCCAAATATAACAACAAACTTGCATCCTTCGTTGCACCATGCAATCAACCAACAATCCAACATAAAAATATGCAATGGCTACAACCGCCACCGACCCACCGTCACTACCACCATGAACTGCCGCCCCCCGCTCACCGCCACCGTGCAATCTATTGTCGTCAATGATTTCCCACGTTACCAAGCGCGCCTCCGTCGTTACTGACACCTCTCGCATTTGCCCACGATCTACTGTTGTACCGTGCACCGTGCAATTGAATGTTGCCGATGATTTCTCACATCGCAAGCTCGCCTCTTTCGCCGCCAACACCACCGGGGTCTGCCATCGCCGTCGTAGTATTATTGTCTTACAATGATTGTCAAGGAAAAATACTTTTTATACAATGCAACAATAATACAATGCCAAATATTACAATCTATAATGCCAAACATAGCCTCTAACAAGTACAAATATGCCATTGTATTATGTCAATGAGGAAAATAAAATGGCAAATATAACACTGATTAACAACAAATATGTCACTGTATCATTCATAATTCATAGTCATCGGGGGTTATGCTCTCTTCAATGAATATCGATCCAAAATAGATTTCTTTGAAGAGACAATTAAAAAAATGGTAGACCGATGCCCAATTATATCATAAATTGATGAAATCAAATTTTTATATGCATACCCATTTAATGGACAGAAGAAGCCAGCCCAAAGTATCACCAAGGATCTCTTTGTTGAAGACTTGAAAGGATGGAGCGGAGGCAAAGGAGGTGGGCGGCGGTGATCGCGATAAGGGGCAGTGATGACGGTGGGAGTCGAAGGAAGAATGACAAAGAAGGGATCGGAAGTGAAAGAGAGAAGGGAGCAGATCTAAGGATCGGATAAGGAATGAGGAGCTTAATTAATTGCTCCTATTTTGGGTATATAAGTTATAAACTCTTATTTTGGGTATATGCTTAATGATTTACTCCTATTTAGAGGATTTTCTTAAGTACGTAATTACTTAAAAACTTGAGATTATGAGAAATGCCAGGGGTACACCAAATGGTATACCCCATTTGTAGACCATTGATACTAGCCATTGATTTTCTTTTTTATTTTTAATTTGTTTTCCTTCTCTTGCATTTGTGTGGTGGAAATGAAAGAGGTACACAAATAGAGTTGGTATATGGTACATCATTCTGAAATAAAATAGTACTCATTCTGAAATAAAATAGTACTCATTCTCGTACAAGTATAAACATTCATTTCGAAATACGTAGTACTAATTCTGACAAAGGTACTCATTTTAAAATAAAAAAGTACTCATTTTTACACATTTATCTAATATAATTATAATAAATAGCGTAGTGTTCATTCTTAAAAAAACAATACCCATTCTCAAATAAGAAAATGCTCATTCTGAAATAAAGTATTGTTCAATTTTTTCACAATTGAAAAGTTCAAGACCATTATCAAGCTTCTTCATTGCTACCCTTTTCGTCGGATCTTCGTCTATCCGATTCATTCCAATCCCATCTCTTCAACTTCTTCAGTCCCACCTAGGGTTTTCAGCTTACTGGTAAAGTCGCCGCCACCATCGCCTTCCCTCGTCCTGCCGTTCTCCATCATTTTCGCCTCCTCCCAATCTTCGCGCCTCCCTTTGTCGTCGCCTCTCCTTCGCCGGCCTTCTTCGATCGTCACGCCCCTCTCCTCCTTCGCGAACTTCTTCGATCCTGCATCTGCCGTTTATTTCCGCTGGCTGTACGGGAAGAAACGATATAATTTGCACGATACAAATGAGGTACAAGATTTGGCATATGCCTTCATTTTTTGTTTCCTAAAAACACAAACACCTATGGTCGTCCACTCGTCGTCCAGACTTGAGTTACATCGACAGCCGTTTTGTCTTGGGTGAGAAACGCGGTAAAGCTAGGGAGACGAACCCGCCCCGCAAGCCTCGTTGTCTCCGCCGCCAGATATTCTTTCCCTTCCGGAAGTCTCTGCATTCTCGTTATTTCCAAAACATTCCACATTGGACCTAATTTTTCTCTGAAGAGTCTCTCTATTGATTCTTTATTCATCTTCAATTGAGATAAAGGTTCTGCAAATCAAGGTGATTGCCGGTTGAAATGTGGTCCGTACCAAACTTCAAGGCGTGCCGGCAGGGCCTGATCGGAGCTGAATTGCGCGAGAGTTCAACATTTTTTCCGGCGAACTATGGGATGTTTGAAATGAAAATTTATAGATCTGCGGAGAAGGTATATTGCTAAGGAAAAATTTCAATAATTGACTAGATGTGCAAGATTGATTTCATATTGTGATTGTTTAGTCTTTGGTATTAAATGTTTCTTCAACAAATGGGGCGGCCGTAGGTTTGGGGACTTCAAATTGACATTGAATGATCACAATTAGACTTTGTTTTTTGTCTTATGGATCTACTTTTCTAAACGAAGGGAACAGGTTAACAAAATGGTATGGTTTATCTTTGTTAAACGAATATACTCCATTTCAAAATGTTTGCGCTTCAATCCAAATTTGTTCAGAATGCCTTTGGCATATAATGCAGCAACAGGTGCACAAAGCATTGCTATTTAGCGAGTGTACAAGAAGGACCCTACCACAATGATGTAATGTAGGGAAAATCCTACTGCATTTTTGCAAGTGTTGTTTCTTGTACTTGATCATGTGACTTCAAAGTTACAACGCAACACAATTGGCATAAAACAAAGACTTTAAAAGATACTCCGGTTCTTGGCTCTAGTTATATAGTTGAATATTGAGCAGGGAGTGCTGTTTTGGGAATAATTTTACCTTATCTCTCAGGTAGGATGGAGTATTTTTGGAATGTTTTTTTTTGTGCACTGACCGAAGAGATGTTGCATCTCTTTAGCTTGGTTAACCATAGATTTGGAATCCACTATTTTAATGTTCAACACATTGTCAATGATGAATTTCGTTGTGCTCAGAGACAATCAGGATCGATTCAGTGTTGAAAGCGGTTCCTGTTGTCGGAACAGCAGAGTTGGCACTAATTGCCTTAATCCCGCTGCCATCACTGAAAACACCACCGGCAACCAAGAAAGATTCCTATTTCGCAATTGCACAGGAAGCGATATTGTCTTAAAATTGTTGTTTAGGGGTATGTTTGCAAATGCAGAATATTCCAAGTTGTTCGAGTTTATGATTCATCATTCATGTGATGAAATGCAATCTAATAAAATTACAATAAAGAAACATGAAGTTATTCTCGGAACTGGGCAGTAGTAGATGACACTGGAGTGTTTCTGGGTTGCTCGTTCTAGATAACCAAAACAGTGTCAGACAGAGAGTTGAAAACAAATTGAAGGAGACGAGTCACCGGAAGGTGTCCGTAAGACAATATTGCCTGCCTACCATATCAGTACAATGTGGCTAGGAATGACAATGAGTTAGGTATGTATTGGGTGAAGTTTCACAATCATCCATCCATTCATTCTTCATCTGTGACTTGCCTCATCCATCACCCGCTACATACACCATCCATCACCTTATCCGTTTGTCGTCCGCTGGTGAAATGGGTACAAAGAGGATGAATTTAATAACATTGTTTTTATTACTAATAGTATTTCATTACATAATCAAAATAAAACAAATAGTAATAATCGTAAAACATCTATTTTGTTTGACAATAGTAATATATTAAATTATCCATCATTACTATTTTTGGTGATTGCAAGAACCCTTAACTTCACAATTTACAAATATGTAGTATATATGTAGAAATATTAAAAATTTAATACAAATATAGGGATGATCGGGTGGATCGGGTGATGGATGAGAAAAAAAAGATACCTATATCCAACCCGATTCGCCACCCATTCACTCCATCATGTATCATCATTTTTAAGGTTTTTGTCCATTTTATTGGGACGGGTGGTTCAAATATCCATTGGATTGGGATGAGATTGCCATCCCTAAACATGGCCGGCTTGCTTCCAGGATAAAACGTCTAAAGAGTTGGGCAAAAATGCGACTTGTGTCAACCTCAATGAATGAGAAAGATGGTCGAAAAGTAATTGATGAGAAATATTTCTTGGGAGATTACAGAGAGAGAGAGAGAGAGAAAGAGAGAGAGAGAGAGAGAGCTTATATTCCTTCTATTTGGTGTCTTCTGCATCAAGACTAGGGGTGGTCTTGTATAGGTGTCACCGAAGGAACAAGCGTGGCCGACCACTATAGTTACCTTCCCTTAGCACAGTTGGTAACAAGCCAACAAGTCGAGCTAGAATAATGGGATATGCAATTTGGCACATGATTTACCACTCATGTTCGCTTTGCGCCTGCGTGTGATGTGCTTAGCCAGCTTGCTGCAACGCGCATAGGTTCATATCTTATCCTCTGTCAAAAGAACCTTATGATGTCACAATGTTTTCCACCATTTAAGAGAAAATTTAATGAGTTGAGTTTCCAACATTGGAACACATCCCACCTATTTAGAAAACTCTACTCACTTCATTAATTACCACTCAATGGGTCTACTTTGGACATTACGTTCTCATTCACTCGTTAACCATTTTGGCGTATTAGTGTATAATATCAAAAGTTTGTTTCACTTAGGGACGTTTGATGAGTTTTGGAGGGTTGATATGATATGAGTTTTGAAGTCATAGAAAAATGATATGGGTTCTAAAATTTAAATGAGAGTGATTGGATAGATCTAAAATGATAGCTGTTAATGACAAGCAAGGGTGGCGGATGATGATGGTCGCCGGTAGTAGAGGCTGATTGACGGTTAAGGTAGATGTCAAACCCCCAAAATCAATATTTCCCAAATTCGGGAGATATCCATACACCCTTATTTAGGAAAGGGAGGGGGGGTGTGATGTTTGGAGGTATCAAATTTGAATCATGTTTAAGCTTCACCAAACACTCATCAAACAAGCACTTGGTAGAATGCATTTCCATTTGATAATGTCCGAAACTGTTATTGGATCACTTTGATATTTATTATTTATGCCTGAAAATTGCCGCCCCTAAGCCCGTTTGGCTTAATTTTTCTAACATTTATCTGGTTTCCTCTAAACTCATACTGCTTTCCTTGGTTATAATGAACCATAAACCAAGTTCTTCAAATTTTGGAAATGGGTGTGTCTCCATAAATACATACCTCTAGGTATCTATGCAGTAGTTAATCATATTCTGGTGTTACTCTATAATAACATAGTCTATAATTTGCCACATTCCACCATTACCAGGTAGCTCTTAGGCATTCTAGAAGGACAAATAATGGCTCAAGTATTCAGATGACATTGGTAGATGAGAGACCTGCACAAAGAAAAGTTCTAGTGCCATCTGATGTATTGGTATCTCGTCTCCCCGTTTCTACTTCAATTCATTTTTACTTGATTTTTAAAATATATGTATTTTTTTTAATATTCTTAATTCTTGTGTATAAAGCAACGAATTGACAATATGATTTCTGTATGCAGGCATACGATCTTGTTCAAGGGTCCAAAGTAAGAACTATATACTTTTGCGCTAGATATTCAATCCCTATTACTACTTGGTTCTAGGCTAATTTTGTTTTTCTAGTTAAGTGTCATCGTATTAGTAAAAATCTGATGTTCGTTTTCATATATGTGATTGTATTGGTGAACATCTGGGGAATAGGTGAAATGGAGCTATATCATGGCTAAATCCTTGCCTGAACCACCAACTGCAGTTCTTTTGCATGGTATTTTGGGTAGCAGGAAAAATTGGGGTGAGGAAGCATTTCACTCAATCTAAATGCAGCTCGTTTGATCTTCAGTTGCATGTTTTATGAGTGCACCACGGGCATAATTTCAACAGTGAGATTTGAGAAATAGTCACATGCTGAAATTCTGATGGCTAAAAAGTTTCCATCGCTAAACTGACCAAGTTGCCACAGCATGTGTGTACTGTGTATTATTGTATCCCCCCCTATGAAATAAACAAAGTTACCAAGAACTCAGCTGCCATGACAAACTGACAAATGACAACCTGTTGCCTATAAGCAGTATGGATAAAGAAGTTAACAAGAACATGTTGTATGCATTCCTTCCTATTGTTTTCACGATTTTTAACTCCCAAAAAATGGATAGATAAGTTATTCATTGTGACAATGATGCAATGTTAAGTTTATTACTTGCAGTTTGGGCCACTTTCCACTTTTATAAGTTTCTTATTATGGGATTCCTATACGTGATCACACTAAAATTTAATCTCTTACAGCAGTTGAACTCATATCTCTTTGTGTGTGTGTGTGTGTGTCTAGAGGTGGGGGGAATGCAGGATTGTGTGTGGATGCTGGGGTGTGTGATGTTATATGTGTGCGCATCCGCATGCAGGAGTGTTCACACATCTGTGAATGAGAGAGAGAGAGAAAGAGAGAGAGAAGGGCAGGGTAGGAGCAGAGGGAGAGGGGGGAGGGAGGCCTAGCACCTAGTCAAGGTCTATGCTATCTTTTAGGATTTCATATTTTGTATGAAATATTTTTTACCTTACTGAAACACAACTTAGGATATCAATATTATTTATATATTTGGCTACAAACTTTGTATCAGGAAGCTTTGCTCGCAGATTGGCCAAAGAATTTCCAAAATGGCAGGTGACAAATTTTTTAAAGTTTGCTAGTTATTTTGAATTTTTCATTATTCTGTGTAATCGTGGAAGATACATTGCTAATGCATTCAGTTTATCAGTTTGTCTTGGTAGACTTGAGGTGCCATGGTGAT